GCGTGCAGTCAGCACCAACCAACAAGCATCCTGCGCTGGCATCCACCCGACGACCCGACCCTTGGCCTGCACCCATCAGCACCACCAGCACCCAATCAGTCTAACTCAACCAGCACACCCCGCGACATATGCACCAGCTAGCTGCACCAGCAGCTGCAACAGAACCCCAAACACACTAGGTCCAACTTTTCCAAGTCGTGCAAAAGATCTCTTCAATCATCTCAAGGTCATTTTGTGCCCGCCTGCTTCAACCAGTCGACTCCAAAGTCTGAGCATCCGTTCACGGTGTTTTCCCCGAAGTTGTGGGAGAAAGGTCCGCAACGGACGGAGCCTACATACAGAAAGTACCTCTGAGAGTGCGAGTATGCTGCGTCTCAGCAAGCAAATGAAGATGGTCGAAAGCGCACTCGATGACATGTGGCGGCGGACATTGGGGAACTTTCAACTTGAGGCATCCATCCAGCGGCCCTTCTGTTACCTCGGCAGAATTCGCTCGTTTTCCGTGATTTCTCCTCAACAACCAGCAAATCAAAATCTGGAGCTCATAGCTTCTCAGCTACTCACTTTCTTTGTGTACAACTCTTTCTGTCGGCGACTTCTAGGCCCTGGGCTGTGCATTGCAATTGCACGTTTCTGCTGGCAGGCGGCCTTTCACTACCTCCTTGCCATCCGGGAAAACCATCAATCGAAGGTCCTAGCGGCCAGCTTCGAGATTTCGAGCACAAGCTTCCCTAAATGGGCATCTCCTGCAAGCCACAAGCTGAGAAGGGAGGGGACACCAAAGCTCGTCCCATACATCCTGGCATTGCCACCGTTTGCCTTGTGTCTTGCACATGCTAGCAGCACCCCGCAGCTTGGTGGACAAATGTCCTCAGGTGCATGAGCAAGTCTGTGCAAGCTGAGTGATTGCTGAGCTGCATGCGCTTCCAGCTGTAAGAGTCCCAAAAGTTTCAGCGCCAAGGCACCTATTCTCCATTCGGCAATGCAACTGGGAGTGCCATCGGCGGTTGCCACGTTGATGTTGATGCCCTGCGAAATATTGCAAGCCAATCACCTGAAGATAAGCAACTTGGCTTTGGATGTCCTCCAGCTGGCAGCAGTCTGACATTTGACTGTCGCCCGTTGCGATGAAGCTGCTCGCCTCACTCTGCAAAGGCCGGGCGGTCCGGCTTGCATGGACTGGAGCTGAGATCCTGGCAAGCTGAGGTTCAACGTCCTGCTCGCACAGGCCAAAGGTACTCTGACGTGGCGCTGCAGCGACTCTGATGCACACTCTCCTGATTTTCTTCCACGCTTTGGTCCGCCTAGAGACAATCCCACTTACACAAATGCTCATTTTACTCAGCATAAGTTTTACCAAACACGCCTCAGCTGCAAATCGGACCTTCAGCAGAACAAAGCAATGACAAGTGCCTTCAAGCGAAACACGCAACCCAGACAGCCTGCTTGGACTCATCTACCTCAAATGCGACGCCATTGCCTCCTAGAGTTCTTTCTGATGTCTGGGGCAGAGACAGGCTTCACATCTTGCAAACGCCTGAAGCAAGCCATTTCCATCATTCACGTCATGCGCCCAGCGGCATTGGGCTTGGCACTTTGTTGCAGCTGGTGCTGAGGCCACCTGCAGTCATCTCTAGATGAGCTTTTACTGAAGCCATGATGAGCAGTGATGCTAATGGAGATGTGTCATTCAAGATTGAAAAGGCCTCAAACTGCTCTGGCAATCTGGCAAATGCAGTCTCAAGCAAGGCCTGCCGACGAAGCACCTTGTGCTCAAAGCGAAGCCTGTGCTTTCCCAATTTGGATTGTTCTTGCGGCTCTGAAGCTTTGCCTTGCAATCTGTTTGTTTGGCAAAGGAACCACGAGGCTCCAGTTTGCAGTTCGATGTCTCTCCGAAAGTGCGGTCACGTAGCAAAATTGCAGTAGACCTCTTTCGTTCTGCCCACTGCCAATGCGCCCCGTCTTGACCAATCGTGACCATATCAACTCAGAGAAAGTCCAATATAACGCATGCAAAACAGCTTGTCTTGCCGGCCATAATCAGCTGACACGTGACCTTGAGATGTCATCCATAGTCTTTTTCTTCCACCCCTGAGCACCGATCACAGGCCAACCAAAGCTGCACATACAATCCCATCCCTGGCTCAAATAACATCTGGCACCTCCAGATCGTCTACTTTTCTTTGCAGCGCTGCCTGAAGCAGCAGCAAGACTTGCGCACGTGAACTGAGACTCGTACACAAACATGTGCCAAAAAATCGACAGAAGCTTCCGTCGCAGAGAAAGGCCGCAACAATTTGACGCCACAAGTGATCGTGCCATTGTGCCAACGACTGCGCCTTGGCAATCTGCAAGCACTTTGCAAAAGCCCAGTGCGCACAGTTGCACAATTGCAGATTGGAACACTTGTGCGGGCTACATGCGCAGCTTCAGACAACAGTCGTGTAGCTGAACGGGTTTCTGCTTCTGACTGAGGAGCACACATGTTTGGCTGCCACATCGGCGAAGGCTGCAATGTTGGCAACACTCCAATCCTGCGTGGAAATCTGTAAGCTGGACTCTCTGAACATGCAAAATCGCCAAGGAGAGCTGCGAGGTCGTCGATCAGTATTTCCAGTGTCCAGGCTTCAAGTTGAAGCCGGTCGAAAATGTTGAATTCGACCACATCCTTTAGACGCTGACGCTCCAATAAATGCTCAAGTTCAGTCTATCTGGCTGAGGCTGGTTGATGCTTGAATGAAAGGGTCTCAAATTGGCTTTGATGAGTTGACTCCATCTGCGCAGTCCCGCAGATTGCATCACATGTTTCATGTATGGATGTCATCACAACAGTTCTCGAATTCGCATCACGCTCCCATTTACCACGGTTGTCTTACATGTCTTCGCCGCCTCTTTGAAAAATGTGTCTTTGCACTTTATTTGTCTCCGCTTTTGTTGGTGACATTTGCGTCTTCGACTTTGGCCATCGTTTCATCTTGCCATGTATTTTCCAATGCTTGGCTTGTTGAATTCTGTTTTGGCCATCCGACTCCGAAACATGGCCACCTGATGAGAAGCAAGCAAGCCAGAAACGATCAAAGCAGCTCTCATCCATATTACTGTCAAAGCACGGCTAGCAGCCCAAACAACTGCGTTGTGTGTCTTGACAGATGTCGCACATTACGAGAAAAGCACACGAGCATGCGCGTCTTACTGGAATGATTGTGAGGCAAATGCATGCTACCCACAGCACTTGCTGCTCATGTGCGTGTGGCTAGTACGTTAGCAATTGGCAAATCTGGCTTTGACGAGCAACAATGTGCGCATGACAAATTGAGTGATACAAGCAAGTGAGAAATATGTGCGAAGCAGGAGCCACTACTTTTGCAATCATCTGTCAACATCTCCGCCATTCATTGTCAGTGGCTGTACGTGGCCCGGATAATGAGTTGTTTGTCTTCATGACTTGGTGGTCAGCTTGCTGGCTAGATGCGGCACTGTATATTTCAGAAGGACCATAGTCTTCACAATTTGAATGGAAATTCAACTCTTTAAACCATGTCAACTAAAGCCATGCAGGTAATCGTTATCTATGTGACATGTGTGCACGCAGCTGCAAGTTTGGTGGCAGCTGGTAAATTGTCATCACCCCTTCATTCAAAGTGGCTGATGATTCGCTATGTGCGCACTCCTGCCTCATCATCTGCCTGAGCAATCCACGCATTGGTTTTCATTGCTGCATTGCTCATTGCTGCATGGCTCACACTCCCTTCTGCTTGACTCCGTGCGTGGCAAAGACATGGCATTGTTCTTCAACTTCGTCCGTTTGGCTCACAAGAAGGGTCCAAGCAAGCAGCCCCCCTCACCCCGGCGAGTCAATGGTGCGGCCTGTGGGATGGCAGCAACTTCCATGCTAGTTGGCAGCAGGCACAGTCAAATTAGAAGTGTGCAAAGCATGGTGGCCAACATGGAGGCTGAAGCAAGGCTCTGCATTTGAAAGAACAGCCAGTTGAACGTGGAGAGATGGCAGAAGATCTTACGTCAGCGGACAGCACACACCACGCAGCCAAACAAGCAGCAAGCACAGCAAGATGACGTGCGAATGAGGATCACTCCGCAAGCAATCAAAATCTTGGAAAGTGATAATCAGAAACATTGAGACTGCCCCTTTGGGGTGTAGATGGTCCTGATCAGGTTGGTGTCGCTTTATTCCGCAATTCAATTTTTTGGTGTTTGGCTTCAGAATGGGCCAAAAATGGCGCCCACATGGCCCCTCAAACAATTGCAATTCGGAAGCTTACAATCCGCGCTGAACCTTCGCTCTGTATTGTCCAATTCTGTACGCATGCACATGTTGTGCAAGGCATGCTGTTTGCCGTGCGGTGACACTTGGCACAACCACCATGATTCCAATAAATATGTGTCATTCGAAGGCATGACTGAGAAAGCGTGGCTCGTGCCCGAGATACTGGTCGTGCAGGATGAATTCAGAAATGCTTCAGTCTAAGTCATTCAACTCCGTTCCGCCAGGTGTGCAGTCCTGCAAGCGTGACCGATTCAGGTGAAGGGCATCACAACCTCAGGCCTTTGGAGCAGCTTGCGGTTTACACCTGGTCGTGCAAGTGACATGGGTGACATGGGCAACATGTCATCAGGTTTTGCAACTCACAGCTCGCACCTGGGTGGAGGCTGGAAAGTGCAAGTTGCAGGCTGGGACGTTCTGCCTCCAACCATGTTTCAGTCAGAAGCACACGTGGCATATACATCTCACTGTCGCATTTGTCAGTGCTGTGCCCAAGTTGAGTGAGAACATGCGAAATCTGAGTTTCAGCGATCCGTGACGGTTCAGTGGGTGAGTTCGCTTGCTTGGGCGTAGTGGTTTTGCTGGGATTTCTTCAGACTTCATTGAGTGGTTAGGGTGGGGTGAGTGGGGTGAGTGGGGTTTGTGGGGTGAGGGTTGGGGGCCGGATGGGGTTAGGATCGGTTTGGACTGTGTGAAGGCTGCGTCAGATTTGGTCCGTCTTGAATGGGGACTTACCGGTGGGCTTTGAGTGAGCTTCGGCAATTGTGAGAGTAGCCCAAAAATATATGGAATTTATCTCAAATGATTCACCCTCCAGTTTGAGGCGGTTCTGCCTCAGTGTCTGATTTGTCTGACCCTCGATGCGGTGTCTATCCCTTTACACTGTACCATGATGGCCGCATGTCTGAATGCACACCTGTGACTGCAGGAATCTCATCCCAAATATCCTGCAGGAGTGCTAAACAGATACATGTATTCTGGGAATATGCGTGCTGCACATCTCCTCATACACGAGTTTTCTTTGGTCCTCTTCCTTTGGCTCCTGAGTCCGTGCAACAATTATTCGTCATCCGCAAATCACATCTTCCATCTACCACTCAACTGTCACCAGCTTCATGCGTTGAAAACATGTCCTCGGGTTCAGCCTCAGCGCTCTCATACTGCTGTGACTCTTGACCTCAGAGACAAACAAGCAAGATTGCGGTAAAACCAAACAAAGCTTCGCTGCCTTGCGAGACCTCCTGCTCTGGACCATGCTCTTTCCTCCAAGAACAACCCACTCCAACTTTACAGGTTTGATGCTCAAACACGATTCGGCTGAGTGTCTTTCACAGTGAAAATTAGGCAATTGACTAAAAAAATCACGAAGGGCTGCATGATGTCTGCTCCATGTTTGGGAGAGGGGTGGATGTGTCAAAGAATGGAGCAAGTTCCTTGTCAATGCACATGCAGGCCTGCACACCCTTGTTCGGGTGTTCTCTCTTCAGTGCATGTGTGAAATCAAGCGCGACAGCTAGTCATCTAGTTCAATAGCTAACTTAGCTCTTTAGCTAGTCAGCTTATTTGTTTGTTCATTTGTGCGCTAGTTATCTAGTTTGCTAGTAGCTACCTGTTTGACAAGCCAGTCAGCCAGCTAGTTGCTGGCTAGTTTGCTGGCAAGCTAGTTTGCTGGCAAGCTAGTTTGCTGGCAAGCTAGTTTGCTGGCAAGCTAGTTTGCTGGCAAGCTAGTTTGCTGGCAAGCTCGTTCGCTAGTTCGGTAGTGCTTGGTTGTCTAGCTAGCTAGTTGGCTAAGAAGCCAGTCAGCTACTTGGCTAGTTAGCTAGTTGGCTGGTTAGCTATTTACTTGGCTAGTCAAAGACCTAGCAAGTTAGCTAGTTCGTTTGGGAGTGAATTGGCTGGTTAGCTGGCCAGCCAGCAAGGTTGCTAGTTCACTATTGTTCCGTTCGTTAACTTCGCGAGCAAGTGGGCCGGTTGGCTAGCTACATACTTAGCCAGCTAGATAGATCGCTTGCTAGTTAGCCAAACAGCTGCTTAGGAAATCAAGTACTTGCACGAGAGTAATCTTAGCTAGATAGCTAGTTAGCTCTAGCTATTCAGCTCGCTAGCCAGTGAGTTGGCTGGTTGGTTCTACATAGTCGGTTAACCAGTTAGGTTAGGTTTGGTGGTTGGCCAGTTTGAAAGTAGCTCAGTACCTATTGGGCCAGCTGGGTTAGCTGGCAAAGAGTTTCGCTAGACAAATTGTCCTACTTGATTAAAAGTTGGCTGATTGGTTGGTTTGCCAATGAAGAGTGCAACACGACGAGCTTTTGATGGTTGACCACCCTAAAGTTCGCAGAGGGTTCACCATATGATGGAAACGAACAACTACGTACCGCCCAAGAAATGTTTGGGCAGCCAAACACTGTAAAAATACTTAACTATGTGTTTTATCATTTGTTCATCATGTTGGCATCGTTTGGCCTCACCATTTTGATACCGAGCCTGCTCTGCGCCCACTCCAAGCCCGCTTCTGTCAGGCGTGACGACAGTGGTGGTTTGGCCCAGAAGCGTTTACCAGAGGTTGCGATGCGTTCCAAGTGTTTAAGTAGTTCCATTTCCGGCCGTTTGATAGAGCGTATGAGTATCAAAGGAGCTTTAAAAGAAGTGCGTGGTATTGAAACTATTTGAGTGTGTCTTTGAGGAACTTTGCGCGCAGAACTCATGAACAAAGGAGGACATCACGCGGATTCCAACATGCTGCGAAGCAGAAAAGCATGGCTCTGTGCAGGTGTTCGGCAAGTCTATGCTCAAGTATTGATACTGCTCATGCATGCGTCACAGCAACTCTGGACCACATGCATGCAGCAATCAACATGACACAGCTAGAGGTTGATCAAACGGATCAGCTAGCAATTGCCTCTATCAAAGAAGATTGCCAGGGTCATGCCGCCTGACCAACATTTCAGGTTGTGCAACCATGCAGTGCGGTTCGCTCCTATGATTCTCGGCTTGCAGACAGCGTTCAGCATGCTCCCTTGCATCGTCTTTCAAATCCTCCGCATTTTCCTGTCAAGCAAGGCTCCGTCTTTGACCACAGCTTAGTGCCTCGCCTGCTTCCACTTCTCCACCTGCACAAAGTGTCACGACTGCGATCAGTGGAAAGTGCATGCGTCCCTTGGTTGCCAACTGTCCAGCGTCTGTTCTGCTAATCGCTTGAAGATATGTGACGGAACAAACTCGCCTCGGCCCCAAGCCGGCCAAGGGCGCTCAGATCTCTTTTTCAAAGAGACTGTCCACTTGTCCCCCCCCCTCACCCGTGTCCGGCGGGCCTTGAAACTATCGGGGTTAGTCGGCGTCCAGCTCGAACCCATTTTTGTGACAAATGAGCTGAGAATGACAGAACTCTGCAAAACCTGTCTGACGTGTCTGAGACTGGCCTTAGACCCACCCAACCAGCCCAGGTCGCAAGCTTCAGCAAACCCACCTAGCCAGCCCAGCCCGCCCTGTCCACCCACAGCCCTCTCTAAAACTAGGTTCAGGACAACCTTCTTGCCCAGCCCGCCACCTGCTGGCCAAGCTTGTCTGACGTGTCTTGAAAGTAGCTTGAGGCCCAGCACTGCCCCAGCACGCGGCGCCACTGACTCTTGGCTCCATGACTCACTCCTGGTCCTAGGCATCACCTTGCCCTTGCCTCGCGGATTCCTGCGCAACTTTGGCACATGACATCAATTGGTCCAACGACGCCAGAACCTGTCCATTCCTGAATCGCCACTTGACCAGCTCTGCTGCTTGCAGTCAAACCACAGACGCTGCGCGCTCGGCTGGGCCGAGGCGGGCAACGCGCAGCGTTTACAGTTGGATATATCCTGAATAGATCAGAGGAGCTGGAGTGGATGACCAAACTAACAGCGCGATGTAGAATCCTAGGCGAGCTCACAATGATTCAGTGCAAACATGCATATCTGGCTATCTAGCTAGCCATCCATGGACCTATCCATCTATCCATGGCTCGATTTATCTATAAAACTAATAAACACACCGACAAATAAACAAAACAAACGTATATTTAGACATGACGAGTTCAACTGTCTTTGAATCGGCTAAAGAGTTGGGTGGACAATTCGCCACAAACCTTGTTCAGCATGGTTGCTGAAATCAAGTTTGACGCGAAGAGGAGTCCAGTAGAGTCCCACTGTCTTTGACAGTTGATTGATACAATGAAGTACGCAAGCTTGCACGTATCCAGATCAATCTGACCGTGGAAGCTCTTCTATAATATAGAATGTCTGACATGTTCGTTCAAGTTTCTTTCAGTTTTGATAAGAATGACACTATCGCGAGGTTCCCAATTGGCGAGCTCTTGCCGTGCTTGCCATTTCCAAGCTGCCTCGTCCGCAAACCCTGGTAAGGGGCTTCTCGCTTCGGAAATGCTGCTTTCCATTACTCACAGCCAGTTGATCTACTGTTACAAAATGTGCAGAGGCGACCGAGGTTCATACCATGGGCAGGCACAGGCACAGCAAGACACGGGTCCAGGAATTTGCAATGATTCTCATTTGGTCGATTCAGAAGGTCAGACGAGCCCATTGTAGAGACTTCGAAGGTGTCACTGTCCCCGCATTTCTGTATGCCCACCCACCCCTGTAACACCGGCTTGTCATGCAGTGTAAGGAAGGGTATACTGTCCCAGGATGACAACGCGATGTTGGGTGTTTTGGTCTTCTTTCGCTTGTTTTTTCTCTCCTTTCTCTCCCTCTCTCTCTCTCTCTCTCTCTCGCTCTTCCTCTGCCCCTTTCTACTTGTCTGTGCATCTGCGTCAGAACCTTGCTCTGCCAAGTGTACGTAACCAATGCAAGATTCCCAGCTTGCAACATGTGGCCGGAACCAGCCTGCTGCTGCATTCGCTTCTCTTGAGAGATGACGGGGTCACTCTCATTGGTATATTTGTCCTGCAGCATCATGCAGCCAGGCTTATCGACTAAGCAGCCGCAGAGCCTCTATTCTCATTGCGTCTCTTTCTCGCTTTTCTCGCCTTACGCTTTCGATCATGTCCTGGTCACACAAATGGCTTTCAAGCTTCAAGTACTTGCTTCCACCCTCTCCGTGGCGAGGAAGCCCGACTGCAATCGAACTCAAATTGACTCGAGCTTACGGACATTGTGTATGCAAGGAACAATTCACTCCATAGATAGAAGGCGTTGTGAAGGCAGCAAGCTCCTGGAACGCCCTCATATTGCGTTCATGCTTGTCGTTCTCCTCCTAGCAGCAATATGCAGTTTGCATTGTGCCCACTTCCAGTATCTTTAGCCGCTTCTTTGTCCCAAAGCCTTCTCTGCCTTCTCTCTGTCTGTCTCTGTCCTGTTTGATTCGGCGCCTCTCTGCACGCTCCTCCTCCAAGCCTGAGCATGAGAGCCACACAAATTGCTTGCAAAGGAAACACCCAACGCTTCAACGCTGGTGCCTCCTCGATTGAAGGCTTCCGCTGCTCTTCTGTCCTAACACAACCTCTTCGAGCCCAGTCAGTCTCGTGGCACTGGCCTCTGGAAACACTGGTCGATCATCCAAATACCTTGGCTTCAGCACCCCCTAAGTTTGGTTTAGAGAGCGTCAACAACTTGAATCTACGGCTCGCAAACAGAACTCGCAATAACAAACTCCGGAAGATTCACGGCCTGTGCAATCAAATGTCATTAGCTGAGCGGCTTGAGGTTGTGGCACACAGCCGTGATGCCCTTTCTGTAGTTGGGTATTTTCTTGGCACAAGGATTGCCCTTCAAATAGATCACGCGGAGGTCGGCCATTCGCGCAAAAACCTGACAAAGGCGCACATCTCCCTCCTGCTTTGTGACTACTGCACTGCATGTTGCAATCTGCAAGTTCACCTCCGGCAGCGTGTCAGGATCCCAGATCTTGTTGTCTTGGACGTCCAGTGTGGAAATCGTAGAATCTACCAAATGCACCATGTCATCGACACCTGGAGCACAAAACCATGCCTTGTACATTTGTCGCCATGCACCGCCTCCGAAACCAATCTTGTTCTTCTGGATGGTGAGGGTGTTCAAGGATCGTAGGTGCGACAAGCCTTCGATTCCTTAACATGCTGACAACGACTTTCCGCCCAAGTACGTCCGTGATAGCTCCTGCAAACACAGTGGCCATGGGTCAAAACCTCGTACCCCCGGCGAACATCCCAACCCCCTCTAAAATAGACAAAAATGGGTGGTGACCTATCCCAAAATGGCATTGGTTTTGAACCATGGCCATTGTTCTGAAGCCATGCTAGCGGCGCAACTTCACGCCAAGCTCCCCGCGCTCTATGAAGTTGTTGTTGAGATTCAGGTTCCACAGCAGCGGGCAGTTTTCCAAGCCATCGATCCTCAATTGCCATGAGATATCCAGTGCCAAGTCATGGTCTGCCAACTTAGGCGGCTGCTTTTTGATGCAATTGTCCTGCTCGCACACCCATCGATTTGAGTTATGCATGTCCATTGGCAAGCCACTTGGTATAGTTACCACATGCCCCCACACTTGCGATCATCGTAAACGTATCATTCCGCGTCAGCCGTGCCTGTAGAAACAGACTTCGAAGATTTCGACACTGAGAAAGACCGCTTATTCTATCGAATGCGTTGCACTCTGCATAGAGAGCACGAAGTCCAGTCCTGCACAGTCCCAAGTGCATTGTGTAGCATGGAGCTATTCAGACAAGAACCCCCTCTCCAGCCCTCGAGGTTCTTCAATTCCTTCCAGCCCTGCACGTATCTGTCAACATCTCTAAGTGTGTGCCAATCAATATTTTAAGTCACCTTGTACTGGATGAACAGCTTATCGTTCAATTCTTCCGAACGATAATACAAGCGTCTGTCCTTGGATGAGCATGCTTGCTGCATGATGATCAAACAAAGCCGAAACACGATCGGCCAACCTTTGCCATGGGCTTCGAATTGATGCACTCCCAAAGGTAGCTGCATCAGAGCGATCATGCGTGACATTTCATCACAGGCGTCAAACGATTGCTTGATCCGGCATCACCGCACAAAGCTTCCAAAGCGAAAAGTGGGTCGGTGGGGCAGCACACAATGATGGGGCGGACCTGCCGCAGTCATGAGAAAGAAAAAGAGAAAGAGAAAGATAAACAGAAAAAGACAAAGAGAAAGAGAAGAGAAATGCGGCACGCACACACACATATATGCTAGGTGGTGACCTGAACGGAGTCTGGGAGAACCGCCAACCGATCACGCAGGAAACAGCCAACGGAACCAACCCAAACCCTAAGTTGACAACACAACGTCTGCAAAGAAAAACAGTCAAAGGAGCACTCATCAAGCAGTATGTTCTAAGTTCTGGAACATGTACGTCTCACATACGGAAGGCAATATGAATGCGCATTGCAATCAAGTCTCGCTATCTATGAGCTTCTTGAGCTCTGCCTTCGTCATTTCAGTGGCACCAAAGCCGAGTCGAACCTGAATCAGCGCGATTGTGGCATGTCTTCAGCCGCCAGCCCAGCCTCTTCCTCATGCTTCTCACGCTGAGAACGGAATTCGGCCTCCTTTACAGCTTCTCGCTTTAGCACCTTCGAGTGATGCGTGTCGTTGCTGGCTCATATCGCGGCTTGCCCTTACCGAGGCTGCGGCACTAGCGTGCAAGGCCCGGTCCAAGTCTGAAGTGGACATTGCCTGAGCCGCAAGTGACGCATCGGAACGAGTCAAAACCTGGGAAGCTAGCTCGCTGCTTCAGACTCAGAACTGATGGAGACTTTGAGCCAGGCAGAGGCAGGAAAGAACCAAAAATGCTTAACCCTGCATGACTCTCTTGCTTTCTCCACTCATGACTGTCTCTGCTTGACTCTGATGACGCTTGCACCTAGGCGTGTGAAGTCCCAAGTCAGCCCACGGCAGTCTTGGCCCTCTCCCTAAGTTCCTCCTGATTTCGCTTGAGGCTCTTGACGCATGCTCTTCCATGGTCAATGCATCCTGTATCCCAATTCCTTGCTGAGGATGCGTTGAACCCCACTACACCGTTGCTGGCACCATACATGGCTGTACGCAATAACACCCATCATGCAAAGCGGGACCACTTTCAAGACAAATCAAGCTGCTGGCCCTCTCAAGGGGGGTGAAACGTGATGGCACTCGTCATCCTTGTTCGCATTCGAAGCGGCGAGCGAAGCGCTTTTGCGCGATAACTCAATTTAAAACATTTGTTGATCAGCAATCATGAATCGGCGCTCGCTCCACCATACCGGTCCTTGCTCTGGCATAACGTGACAAACAAATCATCAAGTGTGACCGTCTCTTCAGGTCCTATCAGAATGACTCATCTACGTCCGCTACATTTCATATCTCGCCTCTTCTTCGGGTATGCGAGCCCACCCTGCCTTGACGACAGCCAGGTAGCCACTTCCGGTATCGGCCAGAAGGACCCAGCCTCTTCAACAACCCTCCCCCATTTGTTCGTGCTCTCAACTTGGCCTTTCTGTCACACGCCTCTGATTGCTTTCGAGTCGATCTATTGTCTCCGAATCAAAGATGGCGCCTGATGGTCTGGCGATGCGGCCCCAGACCTTGCCTTTACCACCGCGGATAGCCTGGCAAAGGCTCGACAAAAACCTTTCACAAAACAAACAAACCAACCAACGAAATGCCCAGCTGGCCAAACTGCACAGACCTCTCTTATGGCTATCTACACACCTCACATGATGAACAACGAATTGTTCTGGAAATGCTTCAGCAATGGAATGCTGGGTGAGTGCTCTAAGTGAAACAAGAAGCCAACAAGCTCAGGATTGACTAAGCAACAACGAATCATGTCTCAGCAAGATGATCCAGCAATTCTGAACAACCGTAGGCACACTGAAAGTGTCCAAGTCAACCCCTACAAATGTCTTCTGTGTTGAATCTAATCTAATCAGAATACGCCCCATGTAACAAAAGTTTTTACTTCGAAGACAAATCTCAGTAGGGAGGTCGAGTAATACTTAGCAACAACAAGACAAATCGCAACAGGACGGCCCTGCATTGCTCAAATCTGGACATGTTTGAGAGTTTGTAATCTACACGGAGAGATGTGCATGTTGTCTGCTCATTCAAAGTCCAATCACAATAGAACCGTCCAGCAAGACTAGACATATTGTGATGTGTTGCTTTTGCTAAGTCTCAACTGCATGGTCCGACAAAGGAAAGTCGTACTGTAGAAAATGTACCCCGGTACAGTCCATTCAGCAAAAAGACTCGGCAATGCTGTACGGAGTCGTATTGCACGACCAAAGGAATTGACGAATGGAATAACACTAGCAACACTGAACAGCACTACGCTAATTTGCAAGCTGAACTCACTACCAACAGTAATTTAGCAACACAACCCTCACCGTGAATATCAGCAGGATGAACAGCAATGCAGAGAGATACACAAAGCAAACAACACTAAGCAGAACAAATAGAAGCAAATCACATGTCATAAAACATCGACACCATAAAATAAATCCTTTTGCAGGATTGTGCAGCGAGATCAATCCGCCAAAAGAAATAGCGTGCAAATAAGTTCCGCGAAGCCATCCTGAGCAAATTCACACAAAAACAAGTTGAACCTGAGAAGAATGCCTTGCAGAACAAAAAATATGCATGATATGAAACTCATTGTGCCAGTAGACCACTCGCGACTGCAGAAACACTATGTTGACCTCTCAACTCGTGAGGTTAGCCTCAAACAAGTCTGTCCCAGAAAGCCGGTCCTCGGTTTTTGCTTAGACTGCCCAAGACTCCGGAGCATCGACTACGGCGTATTTCGAAGCCTCACATTGACGTTTATGGCAACGAGTTTTGCGAGGCTGGCCTCAGCCTCATAGTCAAAGATACTTGCAGAGGTACAGAAGCCACTACCGTAGATGGACAAATTAATCAGACCGCCAACAGATGCGGCGCATACCCCCCCGTACCCCCCAATGTCAATGTTACACTAAACACAAGCACTCTTAATGTCATCGGGGTTGGATTCAATTCGTCCACCCAGCCCTATCCAACCGGGCAATAACATTGAAATTGCCGGGGGGGGGGGGGGGGGGCGAGTGGGCGCGTTACAACTGTAAGGGTTTGATTAATTCGTCCACCTACGGTACGGATAGCGCTTCATTGGCGGCTACGCACATACTATTTGACCCTGCGCGCGTTCATTTTGAAAAAGGCGTCGGTTGAACTCTGCGCGGCTTTCCTCGAGCTTCTCCAATTCCTAATCCGCGGGTGGTTGATTTTTTCCAGTTCCTAATCCGCGGGTGGTCAAATTCCGAGTTTTTCCAGTTCCTAATCAAATTCCTCGAGTTTGGTTGTTCGAATTACTCCAGCTTTTCCAGTTCCTAATTGTTTTCCCAGTTCCTTTCCAGTTCCTTTTCGAGTTCCTTTTCCAGTTCCTAATTAGGATTTGTTGCGTTCTCTCAGCAATTGCTTCACCATTTGTTTCTCTTCTATTTTAAGCAACTGGGGATGACTGAGAAAACACAACAAATCCTAATTAGGAACTGGAAAAGGAACTGGAAAAGGAACTGGAAAAGGAACTGGAAAAGGAACTGGAAAACGAACTGGAAAGGAACTGGAAAGGAACTGGAAAGGAACTGGAAAGGAACTGGGACGCCAAGTGGGAACTGGAAAAACTCGGGTAATTCGAACCTTGAAAAACTGGAGTAATTCGAACAACCGGAGATTACAAACTGGAAAAACTCGAGGAGTTTGACCACCCGGGGATAAGGAACTGGAAAAACTCGAGTAATTCGAACACCCGAAGATTAGGAACTGGAAAACGGGGAGCAGGAACTGCAAAATATTCAACCACCCGCGGATTAGGAAGTGGAAAAGCTCGAGGAAAGCCGCGCAGATTTCAACAGACGCCTTTTTCAAAATGAACGTGCGCAGGGTCAAATAGTATGTGCGTAGCCACCAATTCTGGAACCGAAGCACTAGCCGTGCTGTCTGGGCAGGTAGGTGTTCAGTGTGTTTGGTGTTGGCAAGATGAAAGTATGTCTTCTGCTAGAAACATCTGCTTGTCTCTCGTGCAAAGCCATCTGCTGCGCAATGCCCTCACCTCACTCCCAGAAAAATATGCCTGTCTTTCGCGTTTCTCCATTGCTTTTGTCTTAGCAAGGTGACATACTTTCATCTTGCCAAGACCAAAACACGGAAAACCTACCTGCCCAGACAGTAGATGGACAAATTAATCAAACCGCCAACAGATGCGGCGCATACCCCCCCGTACCCCCCAATGTCAATGTTACACTAAACACAAGCGCTTTTAATGTCATCGGGGTTTGATTTTAATTCGTCCACCCAGCCCGATCCAACTGGGCAATAACATTGAAATTGGGGGCGGGGGGGCGAGTGGGCGCGTTACAACTGTAAGGGTTTGATTAATTCGTCCACCTACGGTAGGAACAAGCGTACAGGGAACAAACAATCATGTCCCTGAATGTATTCCGGTGGATATCCACGAATCTCAGTAGGCTCACAAAACATGTCGCATAAGCAAGGCTTGCCCATTGACCGCAATCTCAACCTTGCCTGCACAACCTCAACCTGCTTCCCCTTGCGGAGAGTATGCAGCGCGGTCGAGGAAGATGCTGCAGCAGCTCGCACAGCCTGCCACGGCCGTACTGAGTTCATCTTCTTTGATATCACACAGTGCTCGCTTTGTCGATTGACTTGGCTCATCCTGGCAAAGGTGATACGTTTTGTGTTTTTCCTGTCTTTCCCACCGATGCCACCATCCAACTTTGCCTCCCATCGATCCTTCCACTCCCCTTACCCAGCTCCTTGTTTGTCCTACAGCACGGTTTCTCCCTTCATTTAGCTCATCGCCCTTCTCCCATCGCACCATCACACAGACGCACGCATTTGCACACTCGAAAAAATGAGCGAACTGGCTAGGTGTGCTGGTGCAATCATAGGAACGAATTGATTCCAGGATGCTGTTGCGTTAGTATAGCCGGGCTTTGAACAACTCGCACACGAACATCGTGCATACGCAATCAGCACTTGAACGTAAACAAGTCAGCAAGCCTTGCAGCCAGCCAGCAGGAAGCGAGCAAGCAAGCAAGTAAGAAAGTAAGAAAGCGAGGAAGCAAGAAACCAAGGAACCAAGGAACCAAGGCACCAAGGAACCAAGGAACCAAGCAAGGGGGGGCAAGCAAGGAAGCAAGGAAGCAAGGAACCAAGGAACCAAGGAAACAGGGAAGCAGGGAAGCAAGGAAGCAAGGAAGCAAGGAAGCAAGGAAGCGCGGAGCCCGTGTAACGTCATAGGCGATTCAGCCTCTTATCATCACTGGCGATTCAAAAGCGACGGTCTAAAGTCTAAAGCCATGTACCCAGCTGTGAACGTAGCCAGACATGGGCAAACCCGCCAGCACTACCACGTCATCCTCTTTTATGCAGCAGCTTCCCAGCCACTCCTGGACAGCAAATCTCACAATGCAAACTGGATGCCGCAGTGAGAAGCTGCATCTGCCCTGTTGTTTTGCTCGCCTGCGTTGGCTTCGACCTCGAGACACTTCTCGAAACCTCAATACATGACAGAGAAGTCTGTGAGTGACTTGTTCATTGCAGCTGCAATGGTCAAGCAAGGTGAGAGGCAACTCGGCTTACTCGAGGCGAGCAGCCAGCCCAAGCATTTTCTTGAGCCTAGCCTGCAAAGACAGCTGGAAGAGAAAGAATCGAATGCCTCAACCAAAAATAATATAAAAACAAATAAAAACGCACGAGTTACATTGCCTCTGGCTGAGAAGAGAAGGAACGGCTCGTTGCTGCATGCTGCAATCGCCTCATGGATTTGATCTTTATGCGGGCTCCGTGTGCTTCATCAGACAATATCAGACATGGATACACATCGAAAGTAAAGTAGTGCCTCAAAAGCTGGGAGACAGGTGTGGGGCTCTGATCTTTTGGCCGTTGGCTCCTGCAGGCTTCCCATTCTGCCGATGGATTGCAAGCAGCTCAGGCCTAAAACTTGCCGTCGCAGAAAGTGAGCGCTCCGTATTCGTGCGCGGCGAGACTGCAAGGCCAGAAATTGCAAAGCCAACGTGCCGCCGGAGCTGCCATGCACATATGTCACGTCTGTCGCAAAGGTATCGTCTATGCCTGGCCCGTCATTGCTGCCGTCCATCTGCATTGCCTTGCGAGCTCTCAAAGGAACTGCCCACTTGCCTTGGTCATCGCCCTTCGCAGGGCTCTGTGTGTGCTCAAGCCAGCCAGCTGTTGAAAGGTTGCAAGATGACGCAGCTGTGTGCCCTTCCCAGCCCCGATAAATCCATTTGTGTGACCAACCAAGTACAGTTTTCATGATAATGTGTCATCATATATCGATTGAAGGTTCATCTTTGGCACCATGCCTCGGATTCTGCAAGGTCTGGCCTGAAGCTCCCAAAGCGAAACGAAGGAGCTCTACATCCAGTTGTCCCAAGAGCGCAGCTCATCTGAGTCCGAGTCCTTACTGCGCAAGAGACCAGCGAAGCAGACAGCGAGAGTGATACCAGAGATTGAGGGACTTGCAGCAACAGTGGCGCCTGCCATTGCCATTGCAAAATGCACAAGACACGGTACAAAAAACTGCAGCTTAACACCATTCCAAAGCCAACAATGAATTCTGTGTATATATGTAGATATATATATATATATATTATTATATTATATATATATATATATATTATATATATATATCTACATACATAATATATAATATATATATATATATATCCACCGTCACTGACTGCCGTAGTTACTGCGGCGCCTCAGGAGGGGGGGGGAGGAGGTAATGTCGTGCTTTGTTGACTTTGCCACGTTTCGCACGTTTTGCAACGCAATCATCATTTTGCTGCGTCTTTGTGGATGGCGAGTGCAGCATGTCCCTCCAGCCCTACGCTGTTGCCAGTTTTTTCCTTTGAACTTGACGAATTTCACCGGGCCTGTTTTGGCATAAATGAACACATGTAGTCCTGTGTAGTCCTGTTTCGGTTTGAAATAGAATCACAAGTGTTTTTTGGAAATCGGGAGCTGGCAGGTATTATCTTTCGCAGCTCCTACGAATAGCAGGGGTGTCTCACCTACGTAAAATATTCACTCCAGTAACCAAAAAAAAAGAGCCTTCGCTCACCGCACACTGAAACTGAAAGTCGCACATCCTTCCAACTAGCGGCCGGAGATAATAAGGCCGAGGCTCGTTTGGGAGCGGTGAAGGGAAATATGCGAAGATTGGGCTTGTTGGGGCGCTGGAACGGTTCTTCGAAGAAGAAGCGTTGTCAAGTGCTTGCGTCTGCTGCCCTACACAGAATGCCGGGATACCGTGGTACTGGCTTGCAAAGCCTACCGCCGGGCTCTTTCACAAGGGAAAGTGAAGCTTCCCCCTCGTGCAAGGCAGAGCATTTGCCTGGGTTGAACGCGTGAAAAGATGGCTTGGGATGCGTGGTAAATGTAGTAAGATTGGAGCCGATGGCCAACCATCCGTCTTGGCCAAATAGCAAGAGCTACATGTAGCTATTCTATATCCGTGGATTGAATCAATGAGACGTACCGTAACGCTTGCTACTTTCACGCCACTTCCTCATTCAGGCAACTCAAAGTCGTAAGCCCTAGCCTTTCCCAGATCTTCCCATGAGAAATGAACCTTGCACAAAATCAATGCTCGAAGCTTGGGACCTTCAAGGTACACATGCGGCACGGTGTGGGAGAAGTCGTGTGTTTTACTAGCTGTCGTTTCAAAAGTGGTCACGGACTCCCAGTTCGAGTTTTGAGGGACATACGGCATCAAAGGTCTTCGCAAAACGAGTTGTGGAATCGCACTTTCGAAACCGACATGACCCAATCTGCGCTTGACAGTCCTTGCTGACTAAAGTGGTCAACACCTCCAGCATTGCAAACTTGAGACGATTCAAGGCACACGAACGTGCGGCAAGGCGCGAGAATATGTCTCGTCGGAAAAGCAGATGTCGCGGTTGAAGTCGTTCGACGACATCAACATTCTTTGCGAAAGGAACTACGAAATTGCATTTGTTGGTCTGTAAAGCAAATCCGGTCGTCGTGGTTTCCCAAGTCGACTCTTGAGACTGGATCGGCGGAATCAAAGTTCTTCACAAAACATGCTTTTTCAGCTTGCAAAGTGGTCGACACCAGGCATCACCAGTGTTTTGATAGTTTGTAGATAAAGAGGTGTCGACACACGCAGCATCACCAGTGCGTTGGTGAAGAACATGTTTTCCTCGCGATAGATTGTAGATACAGTGGTCGGCACCCCCAGCATCACCAGTAAGCGTGCTTTTCCGCTCACAAAAGGTAGATAAAGTGGTCGACACCTCCAGCAACACCAGTGCGTTAGCAAAGCAAATGCTTTTCGGCTTGCTAACTGGTCGACAGCCCCAGTATCACCAGTGTTTTACTAAAGGACCACAGGGAATTGAGAAACTTGTTCAGAGGATCCGTTAAGGTCAGAAGCCAGAGAGGCCAGCGAGGAACCTCCGGCAGGAACCGAAGGAAGCGCGACAAGGCGTCACACGAAAAGCCTGCAGCAGATGGGCGGCAGGCGAGGGCAGCAAGGCAAAGACAAGGACCAAGCGCCCGCCAGACACGGAAGACCGAAAAAGGGACACAGCAGCCAACAGATTACGGATCAAAGGGCCCAGTGCTGAGGCGTCCTCAGGGAGAGCACGAGCAGTCTCCGTCTGAAGGGTCACGCTGAGAAGCTGCTCGGTGGCAACCGAGGGAGACACAGCTTGGCGAGCTGCAAGGAGCCAAGCGCCTGGCGTGTGGCAAGGGCCTCTGTCAGAGCCCCAGCTGCCGCCACAAGCCTCAGCCATAAGGGAGGTGAAGCAAGCGCTTGCTAAGCGGTCGACACCCAGCATCACCAGTGCGTTGGTGAAGAACATGCTTTTCTGCTCACGAAAGTTTGTAGCTAACGTGGTCGACACCCCCTGCATCCCCAGTGTGTTAAGGAAATGTGTTTTCCCGCTTACTACAAGTAAATGTCGCGGTTTCCAAACTCGACGGCGGCATCAAAGCGAACCACTGGTCGCCCCAGCATCAACCAGTATTTACATTGCAAGAAAAATGTGTTCTTGCGCTTACTGAACGTAGATGCCGCGAAATTTTGTAAATACAGTGGTCAACACCCCATTCACACAGACAAATCCAGTATACGACACGCACATGCTCACTCTGTCGACACATTGCTGCCAATCGCAGGCGCCATGATCTAGTCCGTGCCACATAGATGGGCAAACCCGCTTTGTAACCATGTAACTGTTGCAGACCGAGCCAGCGGGCTAAAATATGCCAAGTGGTATTTGGACCTGGGGGGCGGGGGACAAGTTCACCTCCGTCGTTCAAGCAAAAATCCTGGTAGGCTCACGGTCCCCGATTTGTCAACGAGATTGGTGAAGCAACACAAATCGATATTGTCTGCGATTCCCATTGCAGCACACCTAGCCTACAAGCAGAATCACCAATCCAAGACGGTAGCCCGGCCCAAAACACAACCCAAGACATGTTGTTGCGCAGTGATGCTGCGAGTTTGCTGTTGTGCATGTGACTACTTGTAGGATCATGCCATCGCGTGAATCACGCAGCGCGGCATAGTTCTACTTGCATGTGGCCAAGGTAATCTGGACCCATGGGGTCCTGTGTGGATGCTGCATAGCTAGCATGAAGACTTACTTACCTTGTCACATGCATGCGAAGTATGCCATATATGACTGTAGTGTGCACTGATTGGCATGCAGGGATGCATGTTGCATCACCGTGCCTCTGATGGTGCTTCCAACTCCGAGCCCGGCTGATTTTACAGGTGGGCCCAGCCAACGCATACACCATTCACGGGCCATTCACGGGCAAACACCGTCTTTTGGGTTAAACACCGTCCTTCTGTACAGGCATAGTTTTCCAGCGTCTTAGAAGAACTGGGTCAATAGATAGATATATATATATATATATGTGCGCGCATAGACATCAAACACTTGATTGGCAAATCAAGGTGGCTGACTTTCTTGCGTAACAGCGACAACTCTGCATCAGCGTGTCTATCGCTTCTCAAGGCCTGTCAAGCTTGAACGGCGGCGTCGTTTCCGTGATCTTCTTGCCTTCAGACACCTTGGGATAAAGCAGGGCAGCACGATACATGATTCTGCCAGCACTTTGGCTGCATTCTGAACTCCCAGGCCTGCGGAGCAAGTCCACGAGTATGTAGATAGCCGCGAGACCTGACGACAAAGGCTCAATTGTGCCTGTAAAATGCTCCCGATCGCTTGGGCCTATCAGAACTACGTGAGTGATGGCCTTGTTGACTTGAGCGGCACACAGAAGCAAGCTGGTTGAAGCATATAAGCAGCTGGCGAAAAGTACCAAAATGTTCATTTCGCCCAGAACTGCTTCTGAGTTCGCCTGGGCCACAGAGAACCAAAGGTGGCAAAAGTACCTGGTTGAAAGAATGAGCACTTCCTGTTTGAGCTCGACAAGTCCAAGCTGCCGGCGGCAATTGCACAATGCTGAGGATGGCACTGTAGTATTGCCAGCAGAATGACTGATGCCTTCCTAGTCATCAGCCAAGAGAGCTGCCAATCAGGGTGCTAGTCACTGCTAGTCCCCTGTTCTCTGGCAATGGCACAAGGGAGTCTCCAACAAAATGTCGCGGATGCTCAGGCCCGCGCACCAAGCGCATCCGCCAGGAAATCATCGCTGGCTAGCAAGAAGCCAAAGTAGCAGTTGCTGCCCTCGCAAATGCGACACAGAAGACGCACGCTGCAGTTTGGGCTCCAAGCCGTAATGATGCAAACCAGCACCACCTTGCAAGGCAGTAGTGCTCTGTTCAGTCTTGCTGCCATGGTCTGACCAGTCTTGCTTCCATGGTCTGACTTGCTTCCTAAGTCCTAAGGTAAAGCTCAAAGCTACACATCTTTTGGGGTCTGGCAGCTGGCATGAGCAAGGGCCCAAACCTCGCTGGGATGCTCTGCAAATCCACTTCTTCAACCCTTCAAATGTGCATGTCTTGGCAAGTCAATCACTTTGAAGGTCTTGTCCGAACTGACGAGGACAGGGCTCCATCTGCATTTGGCGAGGAGCATCCTCGACGCAACAATAAAGCAATCCTCAGGAGTCGAAACTGTGCCTGGAGCTTTAGGTTGTAAAGCGATGTCTCCAAAATCTCCACCAGTCCTGTGAGACATGTCAATTCGAGTCACATGAGAAATATTTGAGTGGTCTGAGATGGTTGAGATGGTTTGAGCGAGCGAGGAGCAGTCCAGCAAAGTGCTCAAAGCTGGACGAGAAATAGTCATACATGGCTTTGCTCTGATCGGCAATGGACTCGCCCAAACCGTCAATGAGGCTGGTCGTAACCTGTGCCAAGCGGCTTAATTCACCTCTTGGCTGTCTCACTATCCGTGAAACTCTCCCAGTGTGTCACATCTGCTCTCGTCAGCACCTCAGCATAGTTGGTCACATCCTTCCTCTGAACCTGGATTCACTTAACCGCTCTGCATGGACGAAATGAAGCAGTCAGGTCAGCTATGCAAGCTATAAACAACGAACCGCCTGGACAGTCTCCATGTACTGACCGACCTCCGTCACATGTGCAAAGGGGACCAAGTTGCTGACAGTGCATTTCTTCTAGACTTCTGCGCGAGCCTTTGACATCTTACTCTCAATGCCTTTGATGGATGAAGTCGTTGCTTCAAACTGAGTGAGAACCTAGGCCGCCAGCGAACTTTGATATCTGGGGCTAGGGGGCATATCATACTAAGCAAATGACCTCATCAACCTAAAAAAAATCGGGCAACGGAAACGCTTCCCTCACCCTTCTAGGAGCAACAAGATGTCCCCGATATCATGTGCAGCACTGTTGAGTTGCATAATCAACAACTACAATCAACTGCAAAAGCAGTGGCAAGGCTCGTCGCAACCCGCCTGGTCCTTGTCCATTGAGTGGCCTGACAGGAGTCTGTGGTTGATCTCCCAACCGGTTGCCTTTCAAACTTGGCTTCCGACTGACCCCCATGGCTGGCTACCACGCTCTCTGCACGAGCCAAACCTGCTATGTGCCCGCTGCAAAAACTCCTTGCATCTCAAAGGGGCTTCAGGGAAAGCTCAGTAGGGATGAACGTGTAGGACTTTCCTCGCACTACAATCTTCAGCTGGTGAAATATCGGATGAGAGAAAGAACAGGAAGCTCGCTGCAATCAAGTGTCTTGGTATGAGTAGTTAAATTTGTTTGTAGGTTATGCGGCTATGTCTGCGATTTGGTCGAGCCATCATGAGGAGTAGTGGCATATCCAGGCAGGTGGATGCCGCACCAAAGTGCCACACTTTGACTTGCAAGAATGCCGACCACCAAACTCTGTACACCAGTTTGCTGTCCCCATCGGGAATTCTGAGTCTTGACCAGCCCACTGCAAGCATGAAGCAAAACGCTGAAGTAGGGAGAGACAGAAACACGTGCTGGCTTGACAGAATATAAAGCTGATCTGCTGCATGCACAAAGTCCCTCAATGTGCACAGCTGAATTCCACCGAATTTGATCAAAGCGAAAGGGCAGTGCCCCAAGTTCTAATTATAAAACAATCACACATCAGTGCTGCACAACTGCACAACACACACAAATCATGCAGCTCACCAGCTTCAGCCCAACGGATCAGGCAAACCATTCTGGTTCTGGACCTGGGCTCGGCTTTCTGGGCGTACTGATGCGTACTGTCCCTGTGTCCCTGTGTCCCTGTGTCCCTGAGTCCCTGTGTCCCTGTGTCCCTGTGTCCCTCTGTCCCTGTGTCCCTGTGTCCATGTGTCCCTGTGTCCCTGTGTCCCTGTGTCCCTGTGTCCCTGTGTCCCTGTCCCCCTGTGTCCCGTTGTCCCTGCGTCCCTGTGTCCCTGTGTCCCTGTGTCCCTGTGCTTATTGTGTCCCTGCGTGTATTGTGTCCCTGTGTTTATTGTGTCCCTGTGTTTATTGTGTCCCTGTGTCTATTGTGTCCCTGTGCTTATTGTGTCCCTGTGTTTATTGTGTCTCTGTGTGTATTGAGTCCCTGTGTTTATTCTGTCCCTGTGTTTATTCTGTCCCTGTTGTTGCTTTTTTTTCTGTCCCTGTGTTTTTTTTTTCCTGTCCCTGTTTTCTTTTTGTTGTGTCCCTGTGTTTCTTGTGTCCCTGTGTTTATTGTGTCCCTGTGTCCCTGTGTCCCTGTGTCCCTGTCCCGGTGTCCCTGTGTCCCTGTGTCCCTGTGTCCCTGTGTCCCTGTGACCTGTGTCCCTGTGTCCCTGTGTCCATGTGTCCCTGTGTCCCTGTGTTTATTGTGTCCCTGTGTTTATTGTGTCCCTGTGTTTATTGTGTCCCTGTGTCCCGGTGTCCCTGTGTCCCTGTGTCCGTGAGTCCCTGTGTCCCTGTGTCCCTGTGTCCCTGTGTCCCTCTGTCCCTGTGTCCCTGTGTCCCTGTGTCCTGTGTCCCTGTGTCCCTGTGTCCCTGTGTCCCTGTGTCCCTGTGTCCCTGTGTCCCTGTGCTTATTGTGTCCCTGTGTTTATTGTGTCCCTGTGTTTATTGTGTCCCTGTGTTTATTGTGTCCCTGTGTGTTATTGTGTCTCTGTGTGTATTGAGTCCCTGTTTTTATTCTGTCCCTGTGTTTATTCTGTCCCTGTGTGTTTTTTTCTTTTTCTGTCCCTGTGTTTTTTTGCTGTACCTGTTTTCTTTTTTGTGTCCCTGTGTTTCTTGTGTCCCTGTGTTTATTGTGTCCCTGTGTCCCTGTCCCGGTGTCCCTGTGTCCCTGTGTCCCTGTGTCCCTGTGTCCCCGTGTCCCTGTGTCCCTGTGACCTGTGACCTGTGTCCCTGTGTCCTGTGTCCCTGTGTTTATTGTGTCCCTGTGTTTATTGTGTCCCTGTGTTTATTGTGTCCCTGTGTCCCTGTGTCCCGGTGTCCCTGTGTCCCTGTGTCCCTGTGTCCCTGTGTCCCTGTGTCTCTGTGTCCCTGTGCCTCTGTGTTTCTGTGTCCCTGTGTCCCTGTGTCCCTATGTCCCTGTCCCCCTGTGTCCCTGTGTCTCTGTGTCCCTGTGTCCCTGTGCCTCTGTGTCCCTGTGTCCCTGTGTCCCTGTGTCCCTATGTCCCTGTCCCCCTGTGTCCCTGTGTCCCTGTGTCCCTGTGTCCCGGTGTCCCCGTGTCCCTGTGTCCCTGTTCCCCTGTGTTCCTGTGTCCGTGTCCCCATGTCCCTGTGTGAGTGCATAAGTTGCGTCTTCTTAATCATGGAGAGGTGCCCAGCTGCCAGGCCATCTCCACCGCCGTCATGTAAGCGCAGCCAGCCTAGCAAAACGGCTTTTTTTCACACGTACGCATCGCCAACCGAGTGGCAGCTCTCGACTCATGGCTCAAATGTTGCTAAGCCCAACACAGCAAGGACAGCCAGTGAAAGGCCATATCTCCGAGCCAAGGAAAGTGCTGTTGAAGCAGCACTAGAAGCACCTCAAAAAGTGCGTGTCTGCGAGCGGGCCATGCAGACGTCTGGCGGGAAGAGATGCACTGGCATGGGTCTCTGGCCAGCTTGGAGCCACGTTGCCTGGCAGAAAATGCCCCATGAGCGCAAAGCCCGTCTCAGATCTCAGCCTTGTCAACCTTCAGCTTGGGGTTTTTGGGCCCTGAGCTGCTCGCTTCGCCTGGGGCAGGCTCACAACGTGACATTCAACATCGACAAAGAGCAATTCGGCCTGAGCCATGCTCAAGTGACCTGCAGCCAAAATACATGCAAGGTGATAAGCCATCAAACTACTCCCGTCAAGAGACTGATGGTGAATCCTCTGTGAACCGCCTGCATCCAAGGGCATTTGCAGGCGTAGGCAAGTAACATGATGTCAACCTGATTTGATGATTGCGCCTTCCGCGCCTTCCGCGCCTTCGCCTTCTCCCTGCCAGCTGTCAGAAGTGCAACCCTTTCAGCCTACAAGCTCATGCCAGCCTGCACAAACGTGGGCAGCGTGGGTTCGGGGGCGCTTGCCTGCCGCAAAGAAAGCAGGACAAGGTCCAAACCAACAAACCCAAATTCAATTGTCAAACACGGAGTCCAAGCAAACTCACAATCTGGGAGCCTTCAGTGTGTTGGGCACAAATATCTTTGCATCCGCATTCTCGATCAGCTGGTCAAAACTGCTTGACAGTTTCTGCTGCTGTCGAGGCTGCCGTGGCTGCTTGCGCTGCGAAACAGTCTTTGCATTTTCCGGCGAGGAATGGCTCTGTCCATCCTCGCCGGGCTCATCTGCACTTTCCATCGCATCTTGGAGCCTCTCCTTCTCCGCTTGCAGTGCGACTGGCTTATCTTGAGCTCCGTCAGATCTCATGGGGTCCACGTCGCGCCTGCCTCCAAGCTCCAAGCTATCGAGGCCATCAGGAGCATGAGTCCCAGCAGCATCTGATCCCCCAGCTGACGAAAAAGTGTACTCCTGCCAACGCAAGGGTCTGACTTCCTCTCCTCTCAGCAAGCTGAAGGTTTCTGTTTAAATACAAGGTTTCCTCTTTGAATCTTTGCATCTGTCGTCAGGCTCCGACTTTTGCTGTTGGACGTGCAAGACACCAGACATATGCGACTTGAGCCAGACCCGCTCCTCCTGCAAAGACGAGGCGAACCCAGACCGAGCTGCAAGCCTGCCCGCCAGGGTTGCTGCAGCAAGTGCAGAGGTGTCGGTAAGCTCATCCTACGCAATGAAGCACGAAACCAGTTCTGCGCACGCAACTGCTTTGCAACCGCAAATGCGATGCCGGTGTCCTCAGAAATCACATCCAGGACTGAAGGCCTGATGATATCCCAGCAGCCCCGTGCAGCTTTTGAGGATTCTGAGCGCCAAGCCGAGTGGCCGCAGACAAGCGTTGCTCGCACAACCGATGCAAGCTGGCCAAGTCCAGCGTCTCCTTTCTTGAGCTTCCCATTCAGCAAGGTCAAGAAAGACCATGCTGCGCTAAAACAGCATGAACTCATCGCATCCTCTTCCGGCTGACGGATGAAGGAGTCGTCTTGTGATGAAGCTTCCTAGGGGCTATGATTTTGCAGCCATGGATTGCTCCGCATGAAAGAGCGCCATATTTTCGCTGCACATTGGCCTCAGCCAAAGAATATACATGATCCACAGTGGTGTGCCTCAAGAGGAAGAGCACCTCCATCTTCATCAGAGGGTTGCTCCTGCTGCTCCTGGTCGACAGGGTTGGTTTGTCTAAGACCACCCCTCCCCCCCCCCCCCGCCGTGGTGGGGTTGTGGTGGCTTAGACTTGGTTTCGGGTTTAGGGTTTAGGGTTTAGGATGGTTTAGGGTTGGCTTAGAGTGTGTTTAGTGTTGGTTTACAATACGTGTTTAGGGTTGGTGTAAAGTTGGTTTTGGTTTGTTTAGAGTGTATTTAGTGTTGGTTTAGGATGCGTGTTTTTTAATCCTTGGTGCAGGGGAGGTTTAGGTTGGTTTCGGGGTGGTTTAGAGCGTGCTTAGTGTTGGTTTAAGATATGCACTTAGGGGTTGGTTTGTCTAAGGTTGGTTTACGGTTGGTTTAGGTTGATTAAGTGGGTTCCGGCTTGGTTTGGAGCGTGTTCAGAACATGTCAAGTGTTGGTTCAAAGATGTGTGTTTCGAGCTAGTTTAGGGTTGGTTTGGGGTTAGTTTAGGGTTAGTTGGGGCGCAGGGCGTGCCGAGGGGTGAAAGGGCCGACCGCAGCAGCAGCGCATTGTGTGTTCGGGTCAGGTTCTGCGGGGGGGGGGGGGACACCATGGGGGCGGGGGACTGGGAACCCGGAGCCCGGGACCATATATCATGTCAAGTCATTTAAGCATCAAACCTGCAGGACTGTGGACGGCTTGGGCACCTGCAGCTGCGACACGGAAATCTTCAGACTGTCAGGCATAATTGACAGACCTAAGCACGGCAGGTCATGCAAGTAAGAATGCATCCTGCTCGCCAGCATGCTGCTAAGCAAGAAACTGCTGATCACTGCACTTTCCTTGGGCTCACCCATGAGAAGCTCATCCCGCAAGGAAGCCTCCTCACGATAAACCAGCACACGGTGCGCGCACTCTCACCACACACACACACACACACAGACTGCACTTGTGAGATCAAATCATGACAGCAGCTGACACGTATAAAGGAGTCTGCAAAAGAATGACAAAGCACTCCTAAAAATGTTGACAACACACTTGACAAGACTAGACACTTGACAAGTCACTTGACAAAACGTCACAACACTTCACAAAACACCTGACAGACCCTTCGATTGTCATGTGATCATCCCACCTCAGGAGGGAAATCAGCTCTGCCAAAAGGCTGGCTCCGATGCTCCTGGGACGAAAAGGCATATGTCAACTCCACCAAAATCGAACCCGGCGGTCTCAGTCAACTGACTATACACTCACTTCTACGAACACCGAGCAAAGCTGCCCATACAACGTCTCGACATGTCCCAATGTCCCAACTCGACTAAAGGCATGCCTGTGCAACGTCTGCCGGTGCTCAAGGTTAGTTCACTCAAACTCCGCGTACTCAAAATTAGTCGACCCGCACCTTCAGCGGCTCAAACCCCCTCAAGCCACGCAACGCCCTTCTTCCATTTCAGCTTTTTAGTCGCCCAAGCCAAGCCAGCCTCCAAGGAAACCTGCATGCTGTCGGGCATAGTTGACAGACCTTGGCGAAGCACGGTTGCAGAAGGTCATCAAACATGCCGAATATGACCGCCCGTCCACATGCTGCTGCTAAGTAACTGCTGCTCCCTGCACTCTCCTTGACCTGACCCATTAGAAGATCGCCCCGCAAGGAAGCCTCCTCACACAGTGCGCACGCTCTCACTTGATAAAGCACTCAAAAAAGATGTTGACAAGTCACTTGACAAAACGTCACAACACTTCACAAAACACCTGACAAACCCTTCGATTGTCATGTGATCATCCCACCTCAGGAGGGAAATCAGCTCTGCCAAAAGGCTGGCTCCGATGCTCCTGGGACGAAAAGGCATATGTCAACTCCACCAAAATCGAACCCGGCGGTCTCAGTCAACTGACTATACACTCACTTCTACGAACACCGAGCAAAGCTGCCCATACAACGTCTCGACATGTCCCAATGTCCCAACTCGACTAAAGGCATGCCTGTGCAACGTCTGCCGGTGCTCAAGGTTAGTTCACTCAAACTCCGCGTACTCAACATTAGTCGACCCGCACCTTCAGCGGCTCAAACCCCCTCAAGCCACGCAACGCCCTTCTTCCATTTCAGCTTTTTAGTCGCCCAAGCCAAGCCAGCCTCCAAGGAAACCTGCATGCTGTCGGGCATAGTTGACAGACCCGCCCGTCCACATGCTGCTGCTAAGTAACTGCTGCTCCCTGCACTCTCCTTGACCTGACCCATGAGAAGATCGCCCCGCAAGGAAGCCTCCTCACACAGTGCGCACGCTCTCACTTGATAAAGCACTCAAAAAAGATGTTGACAAGTCACTTGACAAAACGTCACAACACTTCACAAAACACCTGACAAACCCTTCGATTGTCATGTGATCATCCCACCTCAGGAGGGAAATCAGCGCTGCCAAAAGGCTGGCTCCGATGCTCCTGGGACGAAAAGGCACATGTCACCTCCACCAAAATCGAACCCGGCAGTCTCAGTCATCTGACTATACACTCACTTCTACGAACACCGAGCAAAGCCGCCCATACAACGTCTCGACATGTCCCAATGTCCCAACTCGACTAAAGGCAGGCCACGTCTGCCAGTGCTCAAGGTTAGTTCACTCAAGCTCTGCGTACTCAAAATTAGTCGACCCGCACCTTCAGCGGCTCAAACCCCCTTAAGCCACGCAACGCCCTTCTTCCATTTCAGCTTTTTAGTCGCCCAAGCCAAGCCAGCCTCCAAGGAAACCTGCATGCTGTCGGGCATAGTTGACAGACCTTGGCGAAGCACGGTTGCAGAAGGTCATCAAACATGCCGAATATGACCGCCCGTCCACATGCTGCTGCTAAGTAACTGCTGCTCCCTGCACTCTCCTTGACCTGACCCATGAGAAGATCGCCCCGCAAGGAAGCCTCCTCACACAGTGCGCACGCTCTCACTTGATAAAGCACTCAAAAAAGATGTTGACAAGTCACTTGACAAAACGTCACAACACTTCACAAAACACCTGACAAACCCTTCGATTGTCATGTGATCATCCCACCTCAGGAGGGAAATCAGCGCTGCCAAAAGGCTGGCTCCGATGCTCCTGGGACGAAAAGGCACATGTCACCTCCACCAAAATCGAACCCGGCGGTCTCAGTCAACTGACTATACACTCACTTCTACGAACACCGAGCAAAGCTGCCCATACAACGTCTCGACATGTCCCAATGTCCCAACTCGACTAAAGGCATGCCTGTGCAACGTCTGCCGGTGCTCAAGGTTAGTTCACTCAAACTCTGCGTACTCAAAATTAGTCGACCCGCACCTTCAGCGGCTCAAACCCCCTTAAACCCGCAACTTCAGTGTGCTACGAACCTTTGCTGTCTGCCTTCCCAACAGTTGGCCCTGTCTACGCAACACCCTTCTTCCATTTCAGCTTTTTAGTCGCCCAAGCCAAGCCAGCCTCCAAGGAAACCTTCATGCTGTCGGGCAAAGTTGACAGACCTTGGCGAAGGAAGGTTGCAGAAGGTCATCAAACATGCCGAATATGACAATGACCGCCCGTCCACATGCTGCTGCTAAGTAACTGCTGCTCCCTGCACTCTCCTTGACCTGACCCATGAGAAGATCGCCCCGCAAGGAAGCCTCGTCAGGGCAATGAATCCACACGCGGTGCCCTCATAGCATTCAATCACGAGTCGAGCATCTAGCGACCAGTCTTCTAGCGTCTAGCGACAACCTCAAGCTCTTAGTTTGCATCAGCTTCCTGGCACAGCTTGCCAGCTGTGCTTTGAATATGCACTGGCTTGCTGCAAGAAGATTTTACTCGTAGCTGATTTATTCTTCCACTGCGCTCTGAATGTGTTCAAGGCGTGCAATGGAGCACCGAATGTGTTGCAATGCAGGCCAACTGATCTGTTCGCGCAAGGTTCGAGGTGGCTGGCAAAGACAGCAGAGCGCAGGCCAAAAAGATCACTAGCAAAGAAAACCATTCAAAATACTGTGTTGTGTATCTATAGAGAGCCGAAGCCTTTGGAGACTTTGTTGCGTTTAGAGGAATGCTGTGCCTTTCCGAGCGCCATCCTTCAAATGTTCCCAGCATCAGTCTCCGCTCGGCATAGTGCCTGCCGGCACTGTCCATTTGTTACATGGGTGTGTGTGTGTGTCTGTTCGTGTTCGCGCGTACTGCGGTGGATGCCGTCAATCCCAGAACAGGTGAATGGTCAATTCAAGATCATGCTTTTTGGCGGAAAGTGCTGCTCTCGTTGGATGCATTGGCAGGCAATGCTTGCGTCAAGCAATGCACAGCAAGGGAAACCAAGGGAAAGGAGGGAAACAATGAGTCAGCTCTACGCTCGGAGCCCAACATCCCCAGAGAGCAATCTAGAAAACAGTGTGCCTCAGCTGATGATCTAGTCCTGAAGCGAAACACAGCTCAACAAACGCTTTTAAACAGCTTGTCAAGCATTAGCGGTGTGTTGAAGCGCGAATGGCGTCATGTAAATGCATGCGAACAAAGTTGTGAGTTGCCAGAATCGGGCATTGCATGATGGCTTTCTCCACAATGTACTTCCACACAAGCCCCCAATTTGTCAAAATCAAAACCTTATAATCGTCGTGCGCTGAGTGTTGCTTCGTAAAGCCACAAAACCACTTCCTGAAACTCCAGCAACCCATGTTGCAAACATTGTGTTTGTGCCTCCAAGCTGATGTTGGGGCTGTGGTTCTGCTCCGTCCATGGACCTTTGCAAGGCACGCAAACCAGGCACAAACAGAGTCACATTGGGCTAGGCCAAGCAAGCCGTAAGCAAATCCGCAGTGTGTTGGCATGCAAGAGCTGAGAAAGAAGCTAGTCTTCACAGCCTCCTCTTTAGGCTGATCCATGTCATCATCCAGCGGCAAAGCTTCCTCACAGCGTAAACAGTGTGCATCAGCTTCGCAGAAAAGAAACGTGCTTACTAATATTTGCTAATCATAGGTATCTGTCCTCCACCAGGGCAGCGGAGCCATCTTCATAAGGCTGCTCCTGCCCCTCCTGGCGGGATGATCGTGACCCATGCTGTGCTACAGGATACCCATGCTTTGCGATGACATGCGCCCTTTCACAAGACCACCTAATGTTTGCAAACATGGTTTGTGCCTCCAAGCTGATGTTGGGGCTGTGGTTTTGCTCAGTCCAAGGACCTTTGCCGGGAAAGCAAAGCAGGCACCGACAGGTTTCACAGAAACTGGTTACAAAGCTCAACAAGCTGTGAACAAATGTGCAGAGTGTCGGCATTCAACAGCTGAGAAAGAAGCTAGTCTTCACAGCCTCCTCTTTAGGTTGATCCATGTCATCATCCAGCGGCAAAGCTTCCTCATAGCATAAACAGTGTGCATCAGCTTCGCAGAAAAGAAACGTGCTTACCAATATTTGCTAATCATGGGTATCTGTCCTCCACCAGGGCAGCGGAGCCATCTTCATAAGGCTGCTCCTGCCCCTCCTGGCGGGATGATCGTGACCAATGCTGTGCTACAGGATACCCATGCTTTGCGATGACATGCGCCCTTTCACAAGACCACCTAATGTTTGCAAACATGGTTTGTGCCTCCAAGCTGATGTTGGGGCTGTGGTTTTGCTCAGTCCAAGGACCTTTGCCGGGAAAGCAAAGCAGGCACCGACAGGGTTCACAGAAACTGGTTACAAAGCTCAACAAGCTGTGAACAAATGTGCTGAGTGTCGGCATTCAACAGCTGAGAAAGAAGCTAGTCTTCACAGCCTCCTCTTTAGGTTGATCCATGTCATCATCCAGCGGCAAAGCTTCCTCATAGCATAAACAGTGTGCATCAGCTTCGCAGAAAAGAAACGTGCTTACCAATATTTGCTAATCATGGGTATCTGTCCTCCACCAGGGCAGCGGAGCCATCTTCATAAGGCTGCTCCTGCCCCTCCTGGCGGGATGATCGTGACCCATGCTGTGCTGCAGGATACCCATGCTTTGCGATGACATGCGCCCTTTCACAAGAGCAGCTACTGTGTGCAAACATTGCTTGTGCCTGCAAGCTGATGTTGGGGCTGTGGTTTTGCTCACTCCAAGGACCTTTGCCGAGCATGCCAAGCAGGCACAACACGGTTCACAGTGCATGAAACTGGCCGGGCGCAGCAAGCCGGTAAAAGATCCGCAGAGTGTCGGCAAAATCAACTGAGAAAGAAACTAGTCTTCGCAGCCTCCTCTCTGGGTTGATCCATGTCATCATCCCGCAGCAAAGCCTCCTCAGGGCACTAGCAGCATGCATCAGCTTCGCAGAAAAGAAACGTGCTTACTAATATTTGCTAGTCATAGGTATCTGTCCTCCACAAGGGCAGCGGAGCCATCTTCATAAGGCTGCTCCTGCCCCTCCTGGCGGGATGATCGTGACCCATGCTGTGCTACAGGATACCCATGCTTTGCGATGACATGCGCCCTTTCACAAGAGCAGCTAATGTTTGCAAACATTGCGTTTGCCTCCAAGCTGATGTTGGGGCTGTGGTTTTGCTCAGTCCAAGGACCTTTGCCGGGAAAGCAAAGCAGGCACAGGTTTCACAGAAACTGGTTACAAAGCTCAACAAGCTGTGAATAAATGTGCAGAGTGTCGGCATTCAACAGCTGAGAAAGAAGCTAGTCTTCACAGCCTCCTCTTTAGGTTGATCCATGTCATCATCCAGCGGCAAAGCTTCCTCACAGCATAAACAGTGTGCATCAGCTTCGCAGAAATGAAACGCGCTTACTAATATTTGCTAATCATAGGCATCTGTCCTCCACCGGGACAGCGGAGCCATCTTCATAAGGCTGCTCCTGCCCCTCCTGGCGGAATGATCGTGACCCATGCTGTGCTGCAAACATGGTTTGTGCCTCCAAGCTGATGTTGGGGCTGTGGTTTTGCTCAGTCCAAGGACCTTTGCCGGGAAAGCAAAGCAGGCACCGACAGGGTTCACAGAAACTGGTTACAAAGCTCAACAAGCTGTGAACAAATGTGCAGAGTGTCGGCATTCAACAGCTGAGCAAGAAGCTAGTCTTCACAGCCTCCTCTTTAGGTTGATCCATGTCATCATCCAGCGGCAAAGCTTCCTCACGGCATAAACAGTGTGCATCAGCTTCGCAGAAAAGAAACGTACTTACTAATATTTGCTAATCATAGGTATCTGCGGGATGATCGTGACCCATGCTGTGCTACAGGATACCCATGCTTTGCGATGACATGGCCCTTTCACAAGAGCAGCTAATGTTTGCAAACATGGTTTGTGCCTCCAAGCTGATGTTGGGGCTGTGGTTTTGCTCAGTCCAAGGACCTTTGCCGGGAAAGCAAAGCAGGCACAGACAGGGTTCACAGAACCCTGCTTACAAAGCTCAACAAGCTGTAAACAAATGTGCTGAGTGTCGGCATTCAACAGCTGAGAAAGAAGCTAGTCTTCACAGCCTCCTCTTTAGGTTGATCCATGTCATCATCCAGCGGCAAAGCTTCCTCGCAGCATAAACAGTGTGCATCAGCTTCGCAGAAAAGAAACGTGCTTACTAATATTTGCTAGTCATAGGTATCTGTCCTCCACCGGGGCAGCGGAGCCATCTTCATAAGGCTGCTCCTGCCCCTCCTGGCGGGATGATCGTGACCCATGCTGTGCTACAGGATACCCATGCTTTGCGATGACATGCGCCCTTTCACAAGACCACCTAATGTTTGCAAACATTGTTTGTGCCTCCAAGCTGATGTTGAGGCTGTGGTTTTGCTCAGTCCAAGGACCTTTGCCGGGAAAGCAAAGCAGGCACAGGTTTCACAGAAACTGGTTACAAAGCTCAACAAGCTGTGAATAAATGTGCAGAGTGTCGGCATTCAACAGCTGAGAAAGAAGCTAGTCTTCACAGCCTCCTCTTTAGGTTGATCCATGTCATCATCCAGCGGCAAAGCTTCCTCACAGCATAAACAGTGTGCATCAGCTTCGCAGAAATGAAACGCGCTTACTAATATTTGCTAATCATAGGCATCTGTCCTCCACCGGGACAGCGGAGCCATCTTCATAAGGCTGCTCCTGCCCCTCCTGGCGGAATGATCGTGACCCATGCTGTGCTGCAAACATGGTTTGTGCCTCCAAGCTGATGTTGGGGCTGTGGTTTTGCTCAGTCCAAGGACCTTTGCCGGGAAAGCAAAGCAGGCACCGACAGGTTTCACAGAAACTGGTTACAAAGCTCAACAAGCTGTGAACAAATGTGCAGAGTGTCGGCATTCAACAGCTGAGAAAGAAGCTAGTCTTCACAGGCTCCTCTTTAGGTTGATCCATGTCATCATCCAGCGGCAAAGCTTCCTCACGGCATAAACAGTGTGCATCAGCTTCGCAGAAAAGAAACGTGCTTACTAATATTTGCTAATCATTGGTATCTGCGGGATGATCGTGACCCATGCTGTGCTACAGGATACCCATGCTTTGCGATGACATGGCCCTTTCACAAGAGCAGCTAATGTTTGCAAACATGGTTTGTGCCTCCAAGCTGATGTTGGGGCTGTGGTTTTGCTCAGTCCAAGGACCTTTGCCGGGAAAGCAAAGCAGGCACCGACAGGTTTCACAGAACCCTGGTTACAAAGCTCAACAAGCTGTAAACAAATGTGCTGAGTGTCGGCATTCAACAGCTGAGAAAGAAGCTAGTCTTCACAGCCTCCTCTTTAGGTTGATCCATGTCATCATCCAGCGGCAAAGCTTCCTCGCAGCATAAACAGTGTGCATCAGCTTCGCAGAAAAGAAACGTGCTTACTACTCATGGGTACCTGTCCTCCACCGGAACAGCAGAGCCATCTTCATTGGAAGGCTGCGTCTGCCGCTCCTGTTGGGATGGAAGCATTCAACAACCGAGGAAATCGTCTGAAGCGCAACAAGATCCTCATGTCCGAAGGCAAAGCCTGATGTTTGCCGGGCTTTCGTGATGAGCTGTCCAAAACCAAGAGCGATTGAGCTCACAACCAACACGTTTTGCCTAACCTTGAAAAGCCTAGCATGCCAGTTGATCTACTTGTCTGCCATCTGGTCTTGCCCATCGAGCATGCCCTCCTGGCAGACTTTCGGGCTGTCGCACAGCGTTCTGGGCAAGCCTGGGCTGCGAAGCGTGCGGAAAGGTTGAAACTTGACAAGTTCGAAACTGTGCCGTCAGGGCACAAGACACTGCTGTGCAGCTTTGTGCTGTGTCCCACAGCCTTAGCCGGCGAACATGGTCTACATCCGCTGATGCGCACAGAATCGCAGTGTTTGGAGACATTGCATCAATGTGGCAAAGCGATGCTGTTGAAATACTGTGCGTTTCCTGGCCAAAGTGAAACTATCAAGCACATGGCCAAGAAGCAAGGAGTCGTTGCTGCCCTCACGCAAGGCAACTTCAGCCTGCATCCATCATGCGCAGGGAAATCAGACTGAAATTAATATGGGTCGAAAAGAATATTTGAAGAAGAGGGAGACAGGCCTCCTGCAGCAGCTTTGCCACAAAGCAGGTATCCTCTTGTGAACGCGTCAGCTCTGGCGCACACCGTCTATCTCTTGCATTGTCTCCATGCACCGCTTCATCCTGAGCACATGGACTCGTGCAAGACGTTGGAGGGAATGCAGTGTGCAGACCTGCTGGCCCTTGATCTCCCTCCATGTCCGCGTCCTTCGCACTCAGGTTCGTTCAAAGGTATCAAAAACATGGCCACCACGAGTGCCATCACATGTGTCGATACAGTGCCATCACACGCTGATATAGAAAACAAAACAGGAGCTGGACACCACATTCGGGGAGAAGGCAAAAAGGCTTTAAAAAAAAAAACAGCTTTCCGATTATTTTGCCCTCTCGTCTGCATTTAGCACTGCAACAGCGGCTGTCAAGCCATCATGTTTGGGATGGTCGGATGCTGACGGTTTACGACAGCAAAAAACACCCGGAAAGGGAAATGCTGCGGGCAATTCAGAACATGGGGCTGTCCTTTCACATGTGGGGCTGTCCAGCATCCGGTCCGTGCCTGGCTTCAGATGTTGTTCATGGAAACATCATTGCAATAGCCAAGGCCACGGCCCCTCCGCAACACTTCCTGCCAGTGCGACAAGATGAAGCTTGGATCATTGCAGCTTTTCTGGCCTCCAAGAATCCTGTTGGGAAAGCATCATCTGTCGAGTGCGGCGCCTGGTGACCACAGCTGCCCCGAATCACGCCCACAAAAGTCCCAGGCCTCATCAAAGCAAGCTTTGGCTTCCTCAACCACCTGCGCAAAACGATGGCCGCGAGTGCAACGATGATGTGGACAGCCTGCTCCAAAGCAGACTGAAGAACCGCATCCAGGCCAGGGGTGGGAGCACCTGAGACGTGGTTTGGACATTCAGAATCAGCCTGCCAACCGAGACAAGTGTTGAGAATCCAGGCCATGACCGTCACCTGGCAACGGCCTCGGATACAAACGCTACAAAGACATTGGAGCAAATAAACAAGGAACCCGAACGAATTAGGATTCCTCGCGGCAAGACAGTAATAGTGTCCTCCTCCTCTGCAACCTATCAGGGATCCACAACAAGATTTGCTGATCAGTTGGCCAACGACCCAAACCACCAGTTTTGCGCAAAGGCAACCGATTCATTCTGAATGGGCGGGTCTATCCTGACAATGCCCGTGGCCTTTGGGAATTCTTCAGCCAATTCTTCCTCGCCGTGGCCGACACTCGCTTTTCGCAGATCTTTAATGCTGGCCTGTCAGTCTGAGCCCACATGTCCCATGGTGAAGACTCATTGTGGGCCACAGTCTGGTTTCCTTAATAGGAATCCTTATCACGATTGTCTGGAGTCCGCATCAAAGGATCCATGACCGTTAGCATCCCTAACAACCCCAATAAACCATGGATGTGTCGAACCCGTCAAACTGGACTCTGCGGCCATATTTGGTTGCATCCCACAAGACTGCGCCTTGCTGAGATCGCAAGTCTTATTCTGCAACTCTGCCAGGGCTGGCCTGTCCTGAGTCTCATGCCTACCGCTTTCTACTGCTGTCCCCCGGCTGCCGCTCTGCAGCTAAGAACCAGACTGCACATTCTTGTTTCAAGCCGTCAATTGGTGACCTTACACAAGATGCATGCCAATTCTCTCTGCACAGAATTGCCTGAATGAAAGCATCCTCACCAGTAGTGCATTGAACTGAAGCCTCCAAACTGGGGCCGAGCTGTATCTCTGTGTCGTGAGTCACCTCCAAGTGTGCCATCAAGCCATGCCCCACAATGTTGAAACTGCCTTGTCCGAGATGGGCAGCCCAGAAGCAGCAGCCACGCTGTCCAGTTGCTCCTGCACATCCTGAGCTGAGCTAGCAGCTTGCTATCTGTCACGCTGTAAAGTGATCGTATACGCAGTCGCTTCGGGCTTCCGGCTTGGGAGTCCTCTGCTCTTGCCCGGAGATTAGCATGTTCTTGCGACCTGTGGCACAACCATACTCTGTCGTGCTGCTTCAAGCTCAAACCGCCTGTGTGTTCCTGCTTCAGTCCGCCGCTGAGCACTTTGACTGCAGAGTTTGTCAACATGCTTCAAACGACGCACACTGTGCGCGCTCGCACGCTTGCTGCACGCTCGCTGCACATACTCCGCAGGTGCCAAAAACTGGGCCTTCTTGGCAAGCGCTGTGGAGGTTTGCTCCTGTCTTCATGCTGGTCCATGCATGCCCCGTTTGAAACCCCCCGACCTGCCAGGATTCCGAAATCGAGCCAAAAAGGCCTCGCAAGTCACCACTCGATCACAGGGACGGCACACTCTCACTCAGCCTCTTCAGCCTTCTTGGTCCTAGAAGGTGAGAGAACGGAGAGACGAAGATACTGTATAGCAGGTATGTTTGCGTTGTGTGGACCCGGCTCCTGGCAGCAAGAGATTGTCCCTGGCCTGGGGTTCAGGGCTCTGCAGGCACTCGCTGATTCGGTTGGCACGAAGCTCGCCTAGTCGTTCGCTCTTTGTCATGTAGTCTCACCTGAGCTGCTTTAATCCCCCGACTCAGTCCAAGCCTTCTATCATTGCAAACCAACTTATTCAAGCCATGTTGCAAATATGCAGCTGCTCGGACGCGGATAACAGTGCCAAAGGATCACGGAATGAAAGCTTGGCACGGCATGTAGGCTGGATGGTGGGGCACTGATTGCTTGTCGTTCCCTTTCATGCCATAGAAACGTTCAAGCTGCCACTGCTACACTTCACAACCTCCGTTTGCTTTTATTGAAGATGCAGTATTATGCATGTTCATGCATTGCCTTGAAGACCCATGTATCTGGTCCCTGTATGGCTGCACGCTGCGTATGCGGCAGGATTGCAAAGCAAGCAATTCAAAGTACATGCAGTGCACCAACAACAAGCTGCACACGCCACTTCTTTCAATGGAGTAGCACTCCAGGCCTTCAAGCATCGAATTGGTCCAACTTGTTTCAAGAATCAGTCTTGACATCTGTTTGCCGCTTCGAGATCCCGAACGTACAAGTTGGACACTGCAATGGAATTGTTGCAACTCCGGCCTTCAAGCCGGCATCACGCGGTCAAAAAACTGCCTATCTTTACATGGAGCATGAGAGTCCTCGTTCGGCTCAAAGACCTGCCTGACAAAGAAGATGCGTTCACCAAGTGCAAAAGTTCCCGTGCTGTGCCTTCACCAGGGGCGAGGCCTGGCAGGGAACACGTACATTGCAGGACTTGATGTCAGACAAGTAAGCCTATAACCTACGTCCCCAGCAAACGGTTTGATGAAAGCAGTGCTTTCTCAGCCTTCTCCAAGGACCTGGAAGACATCATCCTAACTTCGCCCAGGCCAGCTCAATTTTGGCAAAGATCATGCAAGAGCAAGCAGCTGGAGAAAATTGAAAATCTAGGTGGGCGACATGCTGCGGTGCTCACTGATGTGGGGCAATGGAGGCTCCTACCGTTCGACTCAGAACAATAGAATCATGCCTAGTAGGAAACTGTCTCAGCTTGCACCAAGATCACGCATACGGCCGGCAATTTCGCTGGGAGCAGCCGCGTTTGGTGACACGGCTCTTCCATTCATAGTTTGGTCGAAGCTTTCGTCTGCTCGCTCCAAGCTCGCGATGACCAACACATCCGATGGCCCGGCTTCCCGTGCTCTTCTTCTCGCTGGCCGTTCATTTCGCAGGCAGCATTCAGGACGTTTCGGCTCCATACTTTTTCTCAGGTCAAGAAGAGCCGTGCTTCCAAGAGGTCATGGCCGGAATGTACGCAGTCCAGCAGTGGCGCACAGCCTGCTGGTACCGGCTGCTTCGAATGCAGCTCCGCGACCTTCTCCTCCAGCTGCTCGAGAATAGAAGACTGCCTGCCCACATGCCACACAATGTCACAACAACGGTTCAATGGCAAAAAATAACAGCGCAAAAAAAAATAAAAAAAAATGAACATGGACTTGCAACAACTCGGTAGGTTCAGTTTCTCACTCAGGTCTTTTTGCTTGTCAAGGTGCATGCTGACGGCTTGGAGAGGCCCAACTAGGTTCAAGCGCACGGCAGCAGAGACGCTGTCGCGCACTGTGCAGTAGGCAAATCCCTGGAGTGCCACGTCTGCCGGAAGCCCGAGCCTGCATGGACTGCATGGACTGTATGGAATGAGTCCTGCGCTTGACCTCAAGCCTGAGGAAGCTTATACTATTTGATAACAAAGGGATTTGGGCAGGCTCACTGAAATCGTTCAAGTGCACACATGCAGCTTGGTCTCAGTCTGACAGGGATTGGGTGACACCTCTCAGCTAAGTGTCGACTTTGCGGGTTCCCCATCGAGCCTTGCTGCAGCAAGGCCAAACACTGTGGCGTAATGACCACTCTTTGGCCAAGGGCTCTCAGTCTCAGCACACCAATGCCGACCAACACGTATCAGCCCATGTCCTTGCTGCAAAGACGCCCGCGATGCGACTCCATTTGCAGCTAGATGTGCATCCAAGTCCTCATCCAGCTCCTTCCATTCATCGAGCGAGTCAACCTTATGGGCAGCCTTCACAAAGCAGCCCTGTAGACGCAACATTGAAAGGGCCCCAATGTAGATAAAATGGCGCAAAGAATCCACATCTCCTTCCCATTTGCTTAGAAGCCCCATTTGACTTGCTGCTTCTATGCCATTAGAATGAGCAAATCCACCCACTGGCAGCGTCGCATCTGACAGCTGACATAGTCGGAAGTGCTGTCGCATGCTCAAGGAGGTGTCCCGAGCATCTGCCTCCTTGCGTGGCAAGCGCTCCTCTGACCTGGACACGTTCTTCTCAAGGCTGTGCACTGCACTGACTCTCTCAGAGCCGTGCACACGATCAGAATAAGGCTCGACACCCAAATGTGCTTGCAAGGGGGACAGGCATCTATGCAGAATGCGGTATATGTCCTCCGTCTTTTCTGCCATCAATCTGGCAACAGTACAAGTGCCGTCACTTGTCACTCCCATAATTGCTTTGCCTGATAAGCTTAGATTGCATTGATCCGGGGAATCTGTTTCTGCCTGCGCTCGAACCCGAACGCCAGATCGAGCACCCAAGAAGTGCGCTGTTTTCTTGAGCTCACACTCAACTTTCTCAGCAAGCGGCCCTGTCGCAAAAATTGTAACCGCAGCGTCAAAGCCTGACATGTGCTGAAAATCGGCACTTGTCACAGACAGGGATTCGACCAATCGCCGCGTCTTGGCATCGTGCTGCTTCCAAATAAATTCGAACCGAGACTGGTACTCATTGAAAGCCCACCGCTCTCCGCTAGCAATGCGTCCAGCTGAGAGCCAGTCAACGACAATGGCTGAGGATGTACTTCTATTTTCAAAGTTCCCAAGCAGGGTGAACTTCATGCTTTGCACATACGTCCTCAACTTTCTACAACTCGATCTAGAAAGTGGTGTAAAGGACATTACAATCTGCAGGACATTAGGAAGCGACCATTCTGCTCATCAAAACTGACGAGGAAATCTTGGAAACAGGACAACCACTCCAGCGTGCTGAATTCTTTCAAGTTGCGAGTTTGCGAAGGGCACCAAGGGGTCTGGGGCCACCACAAGCAAGCCACCATCCTCAACAACCGCATCCAAGCGTTGCACTGCAGCTCTTCCATCTTGCTTTGCATGGTACACCTTTGTTGAGGCCTTGGGCAAAGCAGGCAAAACAGGAGATTCAACTTGATTTGTCACGCTGATGCCTTGGCTATGTGCATTGATAGCATTGTATAGCATTGCCAGGCCTGTGTCGTCAAACTCACATATGCAGCAGGACCAACTTCCACGGCAACACTGAGATCGTCTCCTCCAAGTAGGCCACCGCCGAAGCTCCCAATAGCACACCAAGCTGCACCGTACGACCTTGGCGTCGGCCAAGTAGATTGAACATGACGCATAACCGTCTACCGAAGCCTAAGAAAGAAAACAATTACCGAAGTCCATATGGCAAGCTTCTCAGCAGCCGCAGTGGCCATTGGAAGCAAGCGCACAGGAGAGGAGTGCGACAGACGTACAATTTCCGTGCGCCTGTTGACCTTCAAAGCCTTGAGGTGCGCATGTCCTCGCTGAGGTTGGCGAGCCCATCGAAGCGCTGAGCACCGCATGGCATTGGGCACCAAGCTCTTTCTAAATCCACAAACAAGCCAGGCCCATCCTGAGCCAAAAGGCAATGAAAAAGTTGCAAAACACTTGGAAACGCGGTCGATTCTGGTTGACCACATTGCTTCCGCTTGTCCTGCAGAGCTGCTTCGACATCATCAGAAAGTGTGCCAGCTGCCTGGCAAATTGATTGTGCATGATTGTGCAAAAAGAGAATCAATGTAAGAACAACAAACAATGTTCAAAGATGCTTAGCAGACCTTGGCATAGCTTTCCAACTCGTGCCTTAGCAATCAACACTCTTGTCTTGCAGCAGCTTTCACACAAGTCTCTGGCAGAATCAACTGCCGATGCCCCTCCAAGCGCTTCTCATCTTGGTGGATTTGCTCCTGGGTGCAGAGGCGAATATGTTTGCTTTACGACTTCATCAAGCAACTCATCCCTGTCCTCAAGCTTTGTCCTTTCATGAGCGCCCTGTGTATGCAATGAAGCCAAGGTCAACTTCAGCTTGTCCACCTACGCACTTGGCTTAGACGGCTTTGCCAGCAGCCATGACTCACTCAATGACTGGCAAGACTATGTACACCGCAAACAATACTAATGGTTCCAACAAAAACGACTGCTTCCCTGGGTCGACATGAGATTTCAGAGGCGAGAAAAACCTCTTGATTAGCTCCTTCGGAAGGCGCGATTTGGCTGCAGGCTTTCGGTGCGGATGAGTCTTGTCGAGTGCCTCACTTCCCTTTTTGTTCCAGTTGGGAGCCTTGTTCACTGATGATTTAGTACGCCCCTCAAGTGAAGACGAGGCATAAGCTGCAGAAACAGGGTGGGCCCCTGATGTTCAAACTTGGGTGGGCCCCCCATGTCTTTTCCCATCTACCCCTAATATTCTCATGTTCACCACTTGACCGTGTGCCTCGGCAGCATCTCGCAATGAAGGCGCTGCACTACCTATGGAGATCTCATGCACTGCATCCTGCACACACATTTGCATTTGACGGTCTCAATTTGCTCACTTCTCAATAAGAAAACAGGCAACGTCCTCAGTTGCCTCGGTAGTCTTCTGGGCATCCTCAATCTGCAAACCGCTCCACTCGCGGTAGTCCTGTGTCCAACATGGACATTGTGCACGAGGGCTAATGTGTAAAACTGTTGTGCGCACGCTGAACCCCCCCTGCTCAAGGGGCATGTGGCTCGGCTCAAGTCCTTTTCCAATCTTGCAGGTTGGGATACGCTGGCAGTTCCTCACGTGGTTTCCTAGGCTTGTGTGTTGGAGCGTGGGGCGCGCAAGAGAACATTTCGTTCTTCAGACCTCCAAAGAGCGCGTGGACCTGACATTTCCCACGTTCAAGCGCGTCTGCTCAGCACTGCATCCGTTCGAGCAGTATCTGGGACGAATTGCACATCTGTCCGCTGACGGTCAACTTAGTCTCGGTTCATGCGGACTTGGTGTACATCATACATCCATCTTAGTGCCTATATCGGCAAGAAGCTTGGCTGTCCTGATAGATCCGAGTCAGCTGCTCAAGGCGTGCTTTCGAGTGGCGGCACTCCCGCTCCTCTCACACGGAGCACTTATGCTCCAACATCCATCCCGGTGAAAACTCGCAGCGCGTCCTGCTCGTCAAGCTCAGCCTGCAAGCCTCGCTGTTCCTGCAGTGAAGCCCGTTGAAGTTATATGTTGGCTATCCATCAAAGCAAGCCTCAAGCACTTCATGAAGTCTCTGCTCTTCTTGCTGAAGCCGCTCGCTGTGAGATGCCGATGCGATCTGTTCAGGATCACAAGCATCGGAAGAATTCAAAAACCGAAAGCCTGGAAACCGCTTTCGGACACACCGTGTGCTTACTGGGTGCTTGCCTGTAAAGGAGTTGCGGGCCTGCGCCCGGCTCTTCTGCTCGTCGAAGGCAAGGGCCGCAAGAGCATCACCCGGCTCTGAGAGGTCAACGCCTGAGCAAAAGCGGAACGCCTTGGAACGCCGATCTGCAACTCCGAGATTCCCGCGCACGCGGAAATCCACGGCGTCTGCCTACGAGATAGACATGGCTCAGGCCGGCTCCAGCTTGGTGTCAATCACAAATACCAGAGCACCAAGTCAACTCCAACACATTACCTGAAATGTCCCTTCCCTCCAACCTCCTCTCCCAGAGCATGGCCCAAGTACTCTGTAATGTCATTGACCTCCAGATTGGCAGATCACTGTTGCTCTCATTATGCATCACGGCTCCACCTGTCGAACCAGGCGACCAATCTCCTCTGCGCGGCTTTGCCTGAATTGCACTGCAACATGAAGCGAAGCAATGCCATGCAACCTCCATTGGAACAATGCTAAGCCCTGCGCTCCTGCATACCCAGCTCCCAAACTTCTTCGTCCGCTCGTTCGCTCTCAGCCTGTGCACTGGATAAAGATGTAGCGTATCTAATACATACAAAGCATTGGGATGGCTAGCCTTCAAATCCTTGAATAGCTGACGAAGGTGGGTACGCTCTGCATGTAGTCGCTCAATGTCTCGCTTGGAGTACGCCTGGCAAAGGCCCGCAAACACCTCTCCTGCACGGGCGCCATTGCCTGGCTCTCCACCAGATCTGCAAGATCAGAGCGCTTTGTCTGCCAGGGCAAACACTCAGCTCTCAAGACATCCATCGTTGACCACATACTCTTCAAGCCTGCAACTCTTCGAGCTCTTTCTGCTGCTCGAGCTCTTCCGCCTGCATGCTCAGCTACGGAAATCGTGTCCGAGTGTACATGCAACCATGTTCGGGGCCTCTTTGCAAGCAGTTTCGTCTTCAATCGTCTGGACTTTGTGGTCATGCGCCTGACCAAGGCAACAAGAACTGATTGTGAATGGACTGAGAATGTGACTTGAAATGGCCTGAATGCTAGCGCGGAGCCTGTCGCCTTCAACTTCCAGCCTCAAGTGTCCAACTTGACTTCTCCAAAACACGCGAACGCTGCACAAACTAAGTATTGGCGACCCCGCTGTGCCGGCATCTTTTGCAGCTCCAGCAGTCTTTCATGCTCAGAGTTGAAGTTCTCAAGCCTCAGCTTCCAAGTGTCACAGCCCTTCTTGAGTATCAAATTAAGTGATGAGCCGAGCTCGCATGTCCACCTGCTGGTTCTCCAGACGCTCGATTTCGGCTTGCAAGGCTTCAATGCGCTGCGTGTAGATCATCCGAAGCCTGCGACTTCCAGATTGCCATGGAAAGTAACAAGTGTGACTATGTTTGAAGGGCTTGAGAGTTGGCCATGTTACTGCCTCTCTTCATCACCGCAGTCATCTTTCCCACTGAGGAAGTTCAAGTAATTCTCATGCAGGGACCGAAGAACGTGGTGATCACCTCGTGCTTCACGCGCTGGCAAACTGAAAGCGGCAAGCCCCAAAGAGTCCGGCTGCTATCGCCAGCATCTCTGTCAGGGTCGCCCATATCCTTACGAAGAACGAAAAGTGCGCCAGTTACTAGAGTTCTTCAACCAAGGTCCGCACACACAAGCCCAGCTGACATGCGGCGAGAGGCTCAATCAAGTCGTCGCTGATGCGAACCTAAACATGACTTTCAGAAGCAGAAACAAACCACTTTCCGTGAGCTTTTTGGAAGCTTGTTTCATGCCTTTGCTGTGTGCCGTGTTGATACATCTGCTGTTGTTAGCTCTCCCTTCCGGGGTTGGTAAACTTGAGTCCAGCCCAACTGGGTTGCATGCCAGAACTGTGAGCCAATCCAGCACTGCGAGGAGCTGCCTGACATACAATACACATACGTAAGCTAAAGGAATCAATGCCGATCCATAGGAATCTAAGCGCGTCCAGGTGACGGCCATGTGTTTGGGCCGCTGATAGCCTGGCTCTGCTCTGCATAGAAGGGGTGCCAAATTCAACTCTCCTCATTGCCTTGAAACTTGGACTTGAGGGAACACACCCGGGCCGGCCTGAAGCTTTGAACGATTTACCTCTACTGGATACTTCAATCGTCGCATGATGGCTGGCACCTGCGCTGGTTCTTGCACAGACTCAGACACACCGCACGAAGGGCTCCTCGTCTTCCATCCGACCTTCCACTTCCAGTTGTGGGTCCTCCACCAAAATGCAACCAGATCGTTTCCACCAAACACGAGGCAACTGTCCAGCTGGGCAACAAGGAAGCGAAAGACGTCGTAGAACTCTTTGGTCGAAGGGTCCTGTGACGGACACTTAAAACCAACAAAGCGGACAGATTGACTAAAGATTAAGCTCTCCTTGAGCAGCTTCTCATGTGAAAACGTCTTGGAGAACCCTCTTGCCTCAGGTTGTCAACTTGTTGTCCCCTGAAGGCATTCAATTGAGGCACGGGAAAGTCCATAGCACTCCAACGATCGATTTCCCCTCCTAAGGTCCGGGCGGTCAACAGCTCAACGACGTTCTTGGCGCATTGAGCTGTAAAGCCTCGATCTCCAATTGGGCGTGGATCGCGTGAATGCCTGGACAAGACGATGTGCTTGAACAAATATATCAGAAAGAAGACAAGAGTATCCTTGAATCAGGCGATTTCACAATCAAGAATTCTCACAGTCAGACTCAAACCGGAGCACCTGGACACGATCACTCCTCTGCTGCGTCCTCCAGCAAACAGCGTCTGCAGTCTGAAAACCAAAGCCACAACATGCACAACTTGCAACGCATGTACATCCAAAGCCATGTGACAACCGTCTGGTGTCCTGCACCACCCTGAAAAAGAGCACGCCTGCTAGTCACTGGCAAAAGAAATGTCCAGTCTTGCATGGAACAAAACCTCCTTGGTGAAGTTCCAACATCTTCTGCAGAACCAACCTCAACACAGTAACACTTTTGCAGAAGACATCGTACAAAACATTGGGACGCCCACTGAAGATGCACCAGGAGATTGTGCACGCAGCCGGCTGACGCGAGATGGCCTGCAAAGCCGCAACACTCAAGATTCCTCCAGAGTCCTCGAAAGTAGGCGTACTGAGGAGCTCACTCTCCGAGTGATGGACGCAGTTTCTGCTTAGGGGTGCCCATCATCTTGAAACCTCAAAGAGCACTCAATGAGCCGCAAACAGCTGCAGATTGATCATGCACACGGTCAACTGATGCAGACATACATAAGCGTTAACACACGGAAAAGTCCCCCAAACCTCAAGCCAGAAACATGCGAATGCAAATTCGAGTCTGCAGCACTCTCACATAGATATCATGAGAAGGCCCCTTTAACTAGTGGGTTGCAATCGGCTTCAATGAAACTTCCACGCACACCTGCACCTTTGACAAGATGACGCCGTACCTACCCAGCTTCTAGCCCTTCTTCTCTATGGACTGTCCCAGAAAGGCTCCGTAGCAATGCACTAAGTGCTTAATCAGATCTGCATTTGCCAGCACGTCAGATCCAAAATACTGACCAAAGAAAGAATGACCTCGGCAGCCACAAACTTCAATGCGCATAAGCCGTTCTGCATCCAAAGAGCGTAAGAAGCAAGTGGCCAAATGTAGATCGATGTCGTGATCTGTCCGCCGAGTTAGTGTCTGAAAAATATCCCGCACAAAGCGCTTGCTGTGATTCACTTTGTGGCCCAATCGCCCAGGTGGTGATGGCAACACCAACGCCAGAATTCCAGCAAGTAACACACCAACAAGCAAAAGCCAAGCTCGCAAACGTGCCAGCCACAAAAGTGGAACGGCAAACATCAAGATCTTTGATCGTGGTAGATCTTCACAAACAACAGGCAGGTCAGTTTGTGCGGATGCAACATTTGGAGGTCTGAATACAACTGATGACAGCATGGGCAGAATGCGATCTGTGGAGCTTCCCACAAATATCAAGCGCTGAAAATACTTCAGAGCATCCTCGCATTCGCAAAGTCGATGTAGCCTGGATCCGTGTGCGCGGTGCCCCTCAGAATGTGTCACCTGATCAAGCCATAAAGGCCGCCCCAGAAAATAGCGCAGCTGCCATGTTCTCACATATGCTGTCCAGGTAAGGGCAGGTAGCCACACACCAAGGTGAGGTGTGCCAACAGACATGTAGGTCGTCAAGCAGTTGCGATGCGCGCCAAGCCAAGGAATTGCAGCCCGAACAATCAAACCTCCAGTGCCAATCCCTACAAAACTTAGATGGCCGCAATGACCCGATTTGATAGCTTCACATACTTCCTGGGCCAACAACAATGCTGCTGCGTCAATGTCATCCTTCTGTAAGGCATCCGAACCTTTGAGAGTAGGAATCCAAACGGTCACCTTGGCATCCTGCAGCAACTGTGCCAGCTCTTGCTTCAGGACATCTGCGTCTGATGGAACTCCACAGTGGCCCAGGACGATGAACACCAAGCAATCACGTTCAGTCGCTGCTGAGGTTTTTGCGAAGGCCTTCCCTGAGGGCGCCCACTCTTTGACAAGATCTGCCATGCCAACTTGCGCATAGACACCAGCAATGACAACCCATGGCACTCATGAACACCAATGATGTAGCTAAACCCTAGATTGTTGCTAGGCTGCCCGAATCATCTGCAGACATGTTTGTTCACCGCCATCCCACAAGCGTGCGCAAAAGATTTCCCAACATGCGACATGATGGCGCTTCATCTGTCAAGTGTGTGCTGCAAGCCTGCGGGCAAAATCCCTATATCATAGCAAGACGTTGTTCAAAAGACAATGTTGACCTTTTGCATGTGCGTATGCGATGAACTAGTGTCTTGTGCCAGCACAACTCACTCAAATGCGGAACCAGCAGAAATTGTGTTTCCAAGTATCCATGTGGAATGCAGAGTGTCTGTGTGTGTGTGTGTGCGTGTGTGCGTGTGTGCGTGTGTGCGTGTGGAATGCAGAGTGTCTGTGTGTGTGTGTGTGCGTGTGTGCGTGTGTGCGTGTGTGCGTGTGTGCGTGTGTGCGTGTGTGCGTGTGTGCGCGTGCGCGCACACGCGCACACCGCACGCGGCGCGCGTGCGCACGTGCGCGCGTGCGCGT